TGTTCAATAGCAAGAACTTGTTCTGAAAACGTTGGCAAAGCACAGTATTTAGAAAAATGAACGAGAAAGTGAGGGAAAGGGAAGCTGGAAAAAAATTAGGGGCGACTGCAGAAAAAGTGACATTATTAAATCAATTGGCTAAGCGCAAACTATTAACAGAAAGAAGAAACAAGGCTTGGAGGGAAAGGGGCGAAGGCCGCACGGATACAATCAACAATTTCGACCGAGGTCTTCATAAACGACTAAAATAAGAAGAAGAAAAAGAACTCGCGTCCCAACATCAAACGCCTATCTTTCCCCCTCCCCAGTTTTTGTGTGTTTGTAAGCTGTTGGTAGTTTCCAGAAATTAACTCACTCAGTACGAAGCACTCTCACTAGGCGTTTGTTGGTTTCAACTGACATGATCTTCTGAACTCATGGTAACATACCCTGCGGTTTCAGTGTAACACTCTACCCCAGTTATTATCACTGTAACTCTCATTTACTCAAAATGTTCTCTTTCACCTTTAACTGTTTAGAACCAAAGGCTGATTAATTAACGTAGTAAATTATTAGATCAGAACGTGTTAATATTATTTGGTAGCAAAGGCAATAACAGGTTGCCGGAAAATAGTATTTTGGCATGGTGTTCAGATAAGATGAGGCAGCAGTTGACCAGCACGACGGTGAGCACAAAATATCAAGGACACACTGAGCATGAATTTTGAATGTTCACGTTGAGCAAGAGCAGACAAAGGTCAGAGAAGATTGCCAGCGTGCCTTGATGGGAGCGAACTTCTGCAAAAGGGCCGGCAACATAATGATGACAATACGCACGAAGTCGTTTTCATCTGGTGTTATTTTTATATTTAGGTGGCAGGGCATGAGGAATCAGTTCGTTGAATGAATGAGTGTGTGTGTCTGTGTGTGTGTGTGGGGGGGGGGGGGCAGAGAGAGAGAGAGAGAGAGAGAAAGAGAGAATGAGAGAGAAAGAGAGAGAGATAGAGAGGATAAGAAGTTCAGTTATAACTAACGTTGGTCTCCCCAGATCCCGCCAATATACACACTAGCTCACTTCTGACTAGTAGATATTGAGCCACGTGGCCTTTGCACAAGGTTATGGAGGTGTTCCGCAATGCTGTTGATATCACGTCTTGTACATTTCAGCACGCCATCGCTTTTAACACTCCAAAAACATGGACAAACTGGGCCTAAAACAACAGCCCTAAACATGCTGCAACCTATGTCACAGGTATTCTCTTTCTCGGAATAAAAACGTAAATGCAAGACAACCTAGAACATTGTTCATTTTAAAGATAATCCTTAATTGCACATCGGAAATGTTCATAAATGTCCCGATCTCCTCCTGAGTAAATCAAGTCTTTTCACACAACTCCCATTCTGTTCTGGTTGATGTAACGACGGGTGGCTAACGTCTGGTTTTCCTGTCTCGCGGCTCCAATTGGTACACAAGCAGTACAGTCTATTCAGTGAAAACCCAATTTTCTCGAAACTGAAAGCCTCACATAGTAAGTCTTTCGTATGGCATGGTCAATGTCTCTCCTGTCCACAGATGTCCCATTCCTAACAGTCGCACTGCCAGCGAGTGTCTGCTCTCTCATTGCCTTTCACATCAGTATGACCTGGGACAAAAAAAAAAGGTGATTTTGCGGAACGCTGCGTGTTCTATCAGCCTGAACCACTGTTTCCGTATGGACCCGGCCTTGAAATTTCCAAACCAGATATATAAAATGGCTAAGCGCGCAAAATGCAGGTCGTTTTTCCTCTATTTTTAATGTGGAGGTTGAATAACAAAGGTTATATAGGGAAAAAGCCCCAAAAGGGGTCCGTAATAAACTTATATACTGCTGATTTACTTATCCAAACTATGTGAAAGCCTAACATTTCACAACCCAGTGACTGCTATGGAAATGAATTTACAATAAACTGCTAAAGGCACCTCAGCAACCCCAAGAATTCTGAATGAACGGTTTTCGATAGTCACACACACACAAACCAGTCAAGTCTCCTTTCACCTGTTAACATCACTCAGCAGAGCACTCCCGGGAGATCACACCTGGTGCTTTGATGTGTTCTCGGCTAATGGTGCTCTGAAGCTGGCGCATGTGCCAACGATCGCCAATCTGACACAGCAAGACCGCAGACGCCAGCCGCCCAGTTTTGTTCAGGGCTCCACACATTTGAACTACTGCAGTCATTTATTCGCCTGTGTGTTACCGGGGCCTTCAGGGAAGGCAAATAATAGTAACACTGCGCCCTCCCACGCATGTCGTAAGAGGCAGTAAGAGTTGATTAAGGGTAGGGCTGGGCTAAAGGGCTAGCTAGCTAATTCTGTAAAAAAAGAATAACAATAGCCACAAAGACCAAACAACCAAAGATAGGTCAAAAAAGAGAACCAAGAAATACTCAGCCAACTAAGGGGGAAAAGGAGGGTGGGGGGGGGGGGGGGGGGTGTGACTTTCTAAAAGAAGAATGATGACAGGGTGGGCGCGCGAGTCCTGGTGGCCAATGTACCACTTTTCAGCCACAAAAAATTCCAAAACTGACATCTGGAATGTTGGACTTTGTAAGAAAAGAGCAGACAGATCATGGAGTAAGCTGCATGCAAAAGCAAAAGACAGAACGACTTGGCGTGAGTTGGTTGAGGGCCTATGCTTCATTGGGGGATAAAAGGCAGAAGAAGAAGTCACTTATTATATTAGCAAAATCAGGCAAAATTATGACTATAATCTAGCTTAGACAGCTGCTTTAAAATCCTCATATATCCATGTAATGGTTTTCTAGATTATATGCCAGATTATCTCCAAATATTCAGTCAATCGATCAACTAATCAAAGCCGTCTCCATATTGAAGGCTGGTTGTAATGACGCTCCACACGCTCTTTTGCCCTGAATGTACATTAATCTTTGAGACAACAGTTCTTCCATCTATTGATGTTATCCTCCCACTTGTATGGCTGTCTATCTCTTGCTGACTTGCCTCAAACTTTTCCCTTTTGTGCGGTTTTTTTAAGTGTTTTGTATTTTAAAACAGTCGAAATGTTTCCTTGACTGTCTCTCTCTTTCTTTTTCCACCAGCACTTGTCATTCCTAGTCCCTTCAGAAACGCCATATTTGTTTGTTTCTGTTTCCATGAACTTATGATTTATTTTTCTCCCTTTGCCTTTTCTTTACTCTCTCCAGGGACGTAACTACACAGGCAGCGACTCCAGGTTTTCTCTTATGTTGAGCTGCTTTGAGAACCTAGCATTGGCATGTTTAATGGAACACAGAATGAAGGGCTTGAACCTAACAGTGGCATGTTTAATAGAACATAGGATGAAGGGCTTGAACCTGACAGTGGCATGTTTCATGGAACATAGAATGAAGGGCTTGAACCTAACAGTGGCATGTTTAATGGAACACAGGATGAAGGGCTTGAACCTGACAGTGGCATGTTTAATGGAACACAGAATGAAGGGCTTGAACCTAACATTGGCATGTTTAATGGAACACAGAATGAAGGGCTTGATCCTGACAGTGGCATGTTTAATGGAACACAGAATGAAGGGCTTGAACCTAACATTGGCATGTTTAATGGAACACAGAATGAAGGGCTTGAACCTAACATTGGCATGTTTAATGGAACACAGAATGAAGGGCTTGAACCTGACAGTGGCATGTTTAATGGAACACAGAATGAAGGGCTTGAACCTAACATTGGCATGTTTAATGGAACACAGGATGAAGGGCTTGAACCTGACAGTGGCATGTTTAATGGAACACAGAATGAAGGGCTTGAACCTAACATTGGCATGTTTAATGGAACACAGGATGAAGGGCTTGAACCTGACAGTGGCATGTTTAATGGAACACAGAATGAAGGGCTTGAACCTAACATTGGCATATTTAATGGAACGCAGAATGAAGGGCTTGATCCTGACAGTGGCATGTTTAATAGAACATAGAATGAAGGGCTTGATCCTGACAGTGGCATGTTGAATGGAACACAGAATGAAGGGCTTGAACCTGACAGTGGCATGTTTAATGGAACACAAATTGAAGGGCTTGAACCTGACAGTGGCATGTTTAATGGAACACAGAATGAAGGGCTTGAACCTAACAGTGGCATGTTTAATGGAACACAGAATGAAGGGCTTGAACCTAACAGTGGCATGTTTAAGGAACACAAAATGAAGGGCTTGAACCCAGCCAGTGGCATGTTTAATAGAACCCAGAATGAAGGGCTTGAACCTAACAGTGGCATGTTTAATGGAACACTGAATGAAGGGCTTGAACCTAACAGTGGCATGTTTAAGGTTCACAAAATGAAGGGCTTGAACCCCGTGGCATGTTTAATAGAACCCAGAATGAAGGACTTGAACCTAACAGTGGCATGTTTAATGGAACACTGAATGAAGGGCTTGAACCTAACAGTGGCATGTTTAAGGTTCACAAAATGAAGGGCTTGAACCCCGTGGCATGTTTAATAGAACCCAGAATGAAGGACTTGAACCTAACAGTGGCATGTTTAATGGAACACTGAATGAAGGGCTTGAACCTAACAGTGGCATGTTTAAGGTTCACAAAATGAATGGCTTGAACCCAGTGGCATGTTTAATAGAACCCAGAATGAAAGGCTTGAACCTAACAGTGGCATGTTTAAAGGAGGACAGAATGAAGGGCCTGTAACTACACCAAGTACAGTTCTTGGCTCAAGGTAATTACTGTTCATCTTCATAATTTGCGATTAAACCCAGTACTGAACGATTAAGTAAGAAACAAGATTTAGAAAAAGATGACTGTTGCTGTAGTATGCACCAGACGAGATACCTTGAAAAAAGCCAGGCAAAAAATTGTGCAGTCTATTATTTACATCTTCCTTGTTCAAACTAAAAAACAGAAAAAGTGCTTTAATGGAAAAGTATGACTCCTCATGCTGGTCAGTTAGGTATTTCTTGAATGTGTTTTGAAATGAGCAAAGAATAAGAAAAGAAGAGCACAACATCTGACTGACTTACCTGTCTTTCCTGCTCATCATCCTTGATCGCTGCCAACTTGTCCTCAGCTGAGGTCAGCCAGAGTTCAAAGGACACTTTGTCTTCAGTGAAACTGTTGTACAAAGGTAAACTGGTGGAGATTTCATGCTTCTTGCATTCTGTGTTCCTCTGGATATCTAACCAGCGAATCTGGTGATGATTGTTAAAATTGTAAGCATCAAAAAGAGAACGCTGCATTACTTCTTGATATCAGTAAACAAAAATAAAAGACCTATTTTCAGACCTTGGGTGGATTTGGCACTTGGAGCTAGTCCTCTACTTTAAATACCAATCAGCATTTGACAGGCAATATCAATATAAGACTGCCTCTAATATCAATATAAGACTGCCTCTAATTTCAATATAAGACTGCCTCTAATATCAATATAAGACTGCCTCTAATTTCAATATAAGACTGCCTCTAATATCAATATAAGACTGCCTCTAATATCAATATAAGACTGCCTCTAATATCAATATAAGACTGCCTCTAATATCAATATAAGACTGCCTCTAATATCAATATAAGACTGCCTCTAATTTCAATATAAGACTGCCTCTAATTTCAATATAAGACTGCCTCTAATATCAATATAAGACTGCCTCTAATTTCAATATAAGACTGCCTCTAATATCAATATAAGACTGCCTCTAATATCAATATAAGACTGCCTCTAATATCAATATAAGACTGCCTCTAATATCAATATAAGACTGCCTCTAATATCAATATAAGACTGCCTCTAATATCAATATAAGACTGCCTCTAATATCAATATAAGACTGCCTCTAATATCAATATAAGACTGCCTCTAATTTCAATATAAGACTGCCTCTAATATCAATATAAGACTGCCTCTAATTTCAATATAAGACTGCCTCTAATATCAATATAAGACTGCCTCTAATATCAATATAAGACTGCCTCTACCTCCCATGATATTTCATGGTGCTTATTTAAGGATGAGTTGACCTGGGAGCCCACATCATTTTTTAAAATCCATCTTGAATGGGAATCAAACATATGATCATCAGACTGACATACAAGCATGCTAGTTACTAGATTACCAAAGCTTGCTTTGAGCACCAAAGGTTTTGATAACTTTTTCTTCTTCTTCTCTTCTTCTTCTCCTCCTCTTTTACCACTTTGGGTGTTCAGGCAGCTATAAGGTTATACATTTTGCTCTTCTGGCCCTTGTTTTCTTGTTTTCAGTGTGTAACACTTATCAATGAAGCCTGTCTTACTGCATAAGACAACTCCAATCAGAACAAAGAAACATGTCATACAAAGCATATTCATTCCCACTCTATGCTACCAGTACTAGACATGGTTACTCACAACAAAACACAAAAGAAAATTAGAACCATTGAAATGAGATGTCCCAGAAAGGCTGTAGGGGTGTGACCAAATAAGATAAAATTATGAATGAACTTATAAGAGAACAAGTGGTCACAGAACCAATTGTAAATCCATATAGAGAGGGGCTATCCTCCGAATAACGGTCCTAAATTATCGAGGCGGAAAATATACCCTAACAGGGCCTCAGTCATGTGTCAATTGCGCACTTCCGGGGACTATAACGCCACTGCTGAATTGCGAACTTCCGGCAACTTCTGCCACCGCCGAGAGTATCCCCCATGCCGCTCACACGGCGTGGATTAGGGCTAAACTAGATGGCTAGGGTTTACGAGCAAATAAAATGAAGGATGCTGCAGGAGATGCGGTAGCTGCTGCTCGTGAGTCCCAGCCATCTAGTTCACCCCCAATCCATGTAGCATGAGCGGCATAGGGGATACTCTCGGCGGTGGCGGAAGTCGCCGGAAGCGCGCAATTTAAGACGATGGAAGTGCGCAATTGACACGTGACTGAGGCCCTGTTAGGGTATATTTTACGCCTCAATAATTTGGGACCGTTATTCGGAGGATAGCCTAGAGAGCAAATCAAATGGTTTGCCAGCTTGGAGAAAATGCATTGCGATGCCATACCATACAAGGCAAATACCAAAAGAGGACAAGGATATAGAGCACAAGGAAGAACAAGAACAAAAGCAAAAGGTAACATCAGAGAAACTCGACAGCAGCATGTTGTGTCTATGTTAGAGGCGGGCAAGGAACACCCAAAGCAGACAAGAAGATGTGATAAACAAAAAAGACAGGTAAGACAGTTGATGAGAAGATACTAGTTGCTACAAGTTTGAATTCTTATTTTTTTCTGCATTCACTCTTTACAAATCAGCTGGCACACTGTGTTGTTTGCAGCTAGGCTGCATCATTAATCCAACACATTCCATTTTGTTTTAAAATCCTTAATTAGTCATATTCTATGACATGCTTGCTGGGGGAACAGTGAGTAATTTTTTTTCTGGCTCTCCCAAGAAGGAGCTCCCAGAATCCACAAGGGGAGAGTTTATATGAGTGTGAGATATTCTACAACATCTAGTGCCATGCAATGAGTTAACACATTCTTCAACAAAAAGGACACTGAACAGGTTGGCATATTCTATGTTGAAGACAGAGCTTGTGAGACAATATACCACATTTTTCCATGTATAAGACACCCCCTATTTATTTTAGCCCAAAATTAAGAAATACATATTGAAAGCAAATTACGTGTAGAAGATTACTCTTAATTTTTAACTTACAAATTTGAGAAAACATTTGGTCTTATACAGGGAAAAACAGGGTACTTCAGAAAACACTGCCTGCTAGCAACACATTAAATATACGGTATCTCTCAAAGTCCTGTCTTCATTTTGGAGATTTACCTACCTGTTGTGTTATTCTCACTTTTTGTTTCTACTACTAAATTAACTTTTATTGATCTTACTGATCATTCTTTCTACTGCTTCACTTTATCCTATTCGGAGCCTTTCTTCTTGCTCATTAGAAGTTTTCTATAAATCAAGAGCCCTTCCGACTGCCTGCACATTTTCTTGAATCACCCAGAGTTAATTTTCCTGCTTAACTTAGAGTCCAGGCTTAATTCACAGTAATGGCAGGATCCATTCTTCACACCATGACAGCTTAACTCTTTGAGTCCCAAGGAACACATCATATGTTCCTACCCAGAGGCCTAAAGAACGCTAAATTTGCTCGGAGTTTACGTCTGTCTTGACTAACCCTCTGGCCTCTGGTGATAAATCCTCTGGGACTTAAAGAGTGAACTCTTTTAGCAGCAAACAAGACATTATACGTGCATCTGCCATTTCCAAGATGTTTCAGCTGTCTTCTATCACATAAGGTTGCTATATTGGCCTTTTGTATCTAAATGATTCGTTTAACTACTACTGTCTGAGAAGCACCCGTAGTGTAGCAGTTAGATGCTGGTCTGCGGATCTGAATTTCATTGGTTCAGATCCTGATGGAGCTGGACTTTCTTTTCAAAAATGACCTTGGCTCTTTCAACCAACCCGTCCAACTTCATAAAGCATTCATTTTGCAGGTGTCGTCCCCCCCCCCGTCCCCCCCCCCCCCCCCCCCCCCCCACCTGTTTAAAAAAATTAAATAATATTTCAATGGATTTACAAATATGTACTCAATGGATAGATTAAATATTTCTATAGATTCATCATTATTAACTCTTAGAGACAAAGTAAATGTACCCATAGATCTGTAACCACAAACCATTGCAATTAATGGTATAGACTCATAAACCTGTATCAAACTGACCCAAAAACTGTTTGCACAAATTCGCAGCCATCTACTCTAATGATTAATAAACTGTTTTCATAATGACTCATAGTTTTTATCTCTGCTGATTCATTAACTTTTTCTAAATGCTGCATTAACTCTCTCCCTACTTGTTTATTAAGTTTTTTTTTCTATCTACCTTGAGTTCTTGAAGTTTATTGCTGACTTTAGCATGAATAACTGGATCTCGGCTGGTTTCAGCCGCCAGCAGAATTTCCTCTCCTTGTTTTGTGACGGTTTTGATGTCCTCGACAAGCTTGGCTTTTTCTTCTTCAATATGCTGCATGTTCAGGGAAAGACATTTATAAAGTTTGTGATATTTACCACATGAAATAAGAAAGTCAATAAGTGTGTTCAATCATGTAAGCTCCCTTACAACCATAGCAGTAGGACAAGTAGGAAGAAATCTAAAACCTCTAGATCAGGGCTGTTCAACCTGCTAACTGTACTGTACTAACAAACGTTCTATGCTGGGGTTCAGGCCACTGGCCTGCAACAATTCCCACTTTCCATCATTTGGGCCCCTGAGTCAGTTTAGTAAAAGTTTAAAGGCAAACGGGTGAAACCATAAATACTCCGTTCTTCTTCTAACTCAAGTCTGAGTCCGAAGAAGCTCAGCACAGTGCACAGGCTCTGTAGTACCGGCGAGGATCCTGAAATACTTTGGGTATATTTTTAACTCCAAATTTTGCCTGGCAGCGCCGTTAAGCTACTGCCAAGGGATATTTTATGACCGCAACAATGCAAACACGCGTCAGATCTCACTACCTAGAGACCAGGGGGAATTACCAGAAGTCCAAGTCAACATGAAAAAATCCTAGCCCTTACCGGGGATTGAAACCAGAATCTCTAGCACTCAAGGCGGACACCACACCTTGAGACCACACAACCCCTGGTTTAGTTGAATGGCCCTGATCTAGATGTCTCTCTCATTCTATGCCAAATTGCATTAACAGCTATTTCTAATTACTGCATACTCTTGCTTTTGTTGTTGCTTTTGCTATTTTACTCTGTCTATAGGAGGTCAATCTACAAAACAAGTTCTGGAATGAGCTTTAATATGTTCCACCATGGAATTATTCTCTAACAATTATATTCAAAAGTTACAGTTTTCTTCTTCAGTATTTGCAAAATGTCCATAATTTACACCTTTCTTCTTCTTTTTTCTATTCTTCCTTTTTCTTTCTCTTTTGAGTACAACTATCAAGAATTATTATTGCTGCAGCAACGCAGTGCGTGCACTGAGCTTGATACCTGGCCAGTGAAGACTGAGTAAGAATTAGACAATTTAATAATGGCATGCTGACTCTTTGTTGGCAACTGAAGAAGACGGAGCACATGTGGGAATGTCTCGAATGCAGTGAGGTTAATTCTTTGTTCACTTGGTTTTTTTTTTTTCCCCGGATATCTTTCAGAGCTCCATTTGTCATTAATTAGAATTTATTCATTTTATGATTTAACTTTAGTTGTGCTGTTTATCTAATAATGTCAAGGCTGATTCTTTTACAGAAGATAACAAGTACCTGCTAATGATCTGTGTGACACAAGGGTTATTTATTTGGCATACAAATGCTAAAAATTTAATTGGCCATGAACCAGTGGGAGTTTACAATTATACCCAAACAACAAATTAATCCTATTTGTTTTTAAAAAGATACTATTTTTACACAGGTAGCTAACAAAAATTTATTTATCCAGAGCTTTTTTATTTTTGTTTTGAAAAAAAAAAAAGAATAATAAAACAAGAGGGTCAAGCATTAAATGGAATGCATTCCCCAGGACCAGAAACAAATATGTACTGGGTAATGACGCATGCCGTGATCCCGTGATCTGCACCACTGAGACTTATGGGGCAATTCTATGTCAACCTGGCTTTTAAAAAGCTACTGGATTCCCAAGGAAACCTTTCTAAATGCTATATTTAGTTAATATATTCATATCCGGTTCTCCTAAGCACTATGCAGGCATACACAGAACCAACAGCATTTAACTATTTTTCGTGAAGAGGTCACTGCAGTAATGGCGATATACTGACATTTAAGGGGCTGTGTCACAACTGGAAGTGACTAGCCTTAGCCTTCTCAGGGCGATAATGTTAACTCCCATATGTCTTTCTCTTTTGTATTTTTAGAATAACAGAAACAGTAAAATACTGCCAAAAATTTACTAAGTTACTCAATGTCAAAATAAATGTTAAAAAAAATAAAGGTGTGTCTATTGCACAGCTTCCTTAGAAGAAGACAGGCATGGTTTGAACGTAAATGTGCAAATATTAGCAGTGACATCTATTTTAAAAATATTAAATGAAAGGTAATTATTAAAAAGTCTAACTATTAGATGTAACAAATAAATTTAAAAAAACCGACAGTTAAAAAATGATAAATTGTATAATGGGAATTAAATAATTCACACATTAAAGAAACAAATGCAAATTCAAGTGACAGAACAGAGAAAATGCATACTGGGAAAAAAATGAAACACATTTAATGTCAATCAAGACTGCTAGCAATTTATTAAATGAGTGATTCTTATTTATAGTATCTCTGAATGACTGAATATATTACCCATGTTCTATGTTATTCCTTGCTAAATATTTCATGCCGTTAGGGAATCGATAAGAGCAGAAATTGGTGAACATTAAACATGCAGTTTGACTGAATACTGTACAGGCCATTCAGTGACACATAAAAGAAACAAATATAACAGTTCAACAGGCTAATAAATATATTTAGGATACAGACACGTAGACTGACATTTTACTTTACGGAGGTTACTGAAGGAAATAATCCATCAAAGAATACAGTTTATTTTCTAGTGAATCCAATAAAAAGGCTTAATCAGCAACAAAGCTGATGTGTTTGATATGTTCGTAAAAATAAGTGGAAGACTATCTCAAGCCTGACATAGAACTAAGTGCGACTGAAGCAGGGAACTGTGCTATCATAAAAATTGTGCATGATACCAACAGCACATAAATCAATGTGAAGTAATTTAGGTTTTTTTTTTTTTAAAAATTGCCTCCATGCAGGAGACATGTCTCAGCCAGCGCAAGCATCTTTGCTTCAGCAGACAGTACATTGACTGTGTTTTTGCTCTTGTGAGTATACATTCGTTAGAGACAATGTCTCCCTATGATATACCAAGGATGCCTCTTGTACAGCACATGTGGAAGGTATTCACTCTCTTTTCTTTAGAAGCATGTAGAGCCCAGGATTAGCTAACTCTACAGTAATGAGCTCATGACACAAGACTTATAAACTTTCAGATCAATTTCTAAATATGATGTTTAACCAGATCTTCAAGTGATGAAGGAAGATAAAGTGTCACCATTTTCACAAGATTCATGTAAAAAACATGATGGAGCTATAGCAATTCATTGTGGTACCTATATTTGTGTTAGTTTAGAGCTAATAATGGAGCCAGTAGCTCATATACAGCTGTCTCACTGCTGTTCCCTTATTTTTTATTGTGAGTTAAACATGCTACATTTCTCAAAGTGCCAGACAGCTCCAATGTAATACATTTGACTTGTGTTACCTGTGTCTCAGCCTCTGTATTTTACCGAGATTCTCTAATGTATTTGTTTATCAATAAGCATCTGATTAAAATTGCACAGGATTGAATAAAAATTAGGAATTGACAGTGAACCTTACACATAAGTGGGACAAGAGAATGGTGGTGATGATATCCTGATTAAAATTGCACAGGATTGAATAAAAATTAGGAATTGACAGTGAACCCTACGCATAAGTGGGACAAGAGAATGGTGGTGATGATAGCCTGATTAAAATTGTACAGGATTGAACAAAAAATGCAGAATTGGCAGTGAACGCTACACATAAGTGGGACAAGAGAATAGTGGTGATGATATCCTGATTAAAATTGTACAGGATTGAACAAAAAATGCAGAATTGGTAGTGAACCCTACACATAAGTGGGACAAGAGAATAGTGGTGATGATGGTCTGATTAAAATTGTACAGGATTGAACAAAAAATGCAGAATTGGTAGTGAACCCTACACATAAGTGGGACAAGAGAATAGTGGTGATGATATCCTGATTAAAATTGTACAGGATTGAACAAAAAATGCAGAATTGGCAGTGGACGCTACATATAAGTGGGACAAGAGAATGGTGGTGATGATGGTCTGATTAAAACCTACATAACAAACCTGCAATGTTTCATCAAGGCCCTCATTAAAATCTTCACTGGTCAAACGGCCCCCAGTTGCCACTTTGGATTCAAAATCATCCATCTGTTTATTGAGATTACCATAGGCTTCAGCAAACTCTTCAACTCCTTCAACCTTGGGACGTGTTGGACTGCCAGGCAATGGAGAACTCAGAGTCGCTGTCCTTGCATCAGTAACATTAGGACTCTCAGGGGGGACACTAGCCTGTCTCTCCTGAATCAATGAACACATTAATTCATGAGGAAATTAGTCATTTTATAACGGTGAAAAGTCTAAAGGTTTCAAGTTAAGAGAATCTGATTCCATTGCACCAGGTTTTATCGGAACTTTTGCTTTTTTGTGACTCTCACTTCAGGCTTGCTGAAAACACTCAAAGCCATGTGGGATCAAACCTGGTGCAAATTAGGTTGATCTTCTCAACTGTTAACCTCTTTTATAATCATATAATTCAATTTTGTACACACAGTACAAAGTAAACTTATGACATTGTGTAGCAGCAAGATAAGCTAACATACTCATATACAACAGATTTTCATAGTATCGTCACCAGCCATACTTCCTACTGCACTTCTCAAAACTCTCTGTGACCCAATGAAAACTCCAGGTGTGCCCTGCTATGATCCATGTTAATGTTGTCTGCCTGTCTGAGCATACTACAGAAACACAGCTAGTTATTTTTAAGCAAATTAATAATAATTATCTTATGGATCTTAAATATAAAACAGCAGGATATAAATTATGCCTATAATTTCCAGGTTTTCTTCTGGATTTATGCAGATTCTGCTGGAGTCACTTTTATCATAACTATCATATGTCCCCAAGTATAAAACCCTGTTAATTAATTAAATAAAAAATAAAAAAATTCAGGGTATTAAAACAGTGTGCATCTTACATGTAGTAGCAGATTTTTTAAAATGATTTATTAGAGAATATCCAGTACCACAGCCCTCATTTCAGGGGCAACATGAAATTTTTTGTTGGGGGGGGGGGGGGGGGGGGGGGGGGGGGGGGGGGGGGGGGGGTGTATAAAAAAAAACAAAATCTATCCTGCTATAACAGTTTTTGTTCTTGTCTTTGTACTCGCTGTTTCATACTTGTTACATTAGGAATGCCTGTGTTCACTAAAATTCAACTACTTGATGTCAACATTACCAAACTCTTTTAGGTTGCCATGACAAACAAATGGATGAAGTCTTCTGGGGACACCCTGACACCAGCAGGTAGTGTGAAGAAATCAACTGTAGCAGAAGTTTGTAAGTGGGTGAGAAGATCCTGGGACAATGTGAAGAGTGAGATCATTGTCAAGTCATTCAGGAAGTCAGGCATTTCAAATGCTACAGATGAAACTAAGGATGAGGCAATATATGAAGACAGTGATTTGACATCCAAGGATGAGGCAATATATGAACACAGTGATTTGTCATCCAAGGATGAGGTAATATATGAACACAGTGATTTTTCATCCAAGGATGAGGCAATATATGAAGACAGTGATTTGTCATCCAAGGATGAGGCAATATATGAACACTGATTTGTCATCCAAGGATGAGGCAATATATGAAGACTGATTGGTCATACAAGGATGAGGCAATACATGAAGACAGTGATTTGTCATCCAAGGATGTGGCAATATAATAAAGACAGTGATTTGTCATCCAAGGATGAAGCAATATATGAAAACAGTGATTTGTCAACCCAAGGATTAGGCAATATATGAATACAGTGATTTGTCATCCAAGGATGAGGCAATATATGAACACAGTGATTTTCATCCAAGGATCAGGCAATATTTGAAGACAGTGATTTGTCATCAGACAGAGACGAGGGCAAGCTAAGGAACTATCATTTGATCGTTGTAGGGGCGACGCCTGCTGATGGATGTAATGTCCTAAGTCCCTTCCCCAGCTAATAATGAGGGTACTGCTGGGGTGACCGTCTATTAACCCTCATATAATGCTTCCGGTCAAAATGGACGCTAGGCACGGCCACCTTTTGTTTTTTTTTTAAAGCCGTGGCAAATGTTTTTTTTCTTTCTCTGTCAGATGGTGGCCGCTGCATTTTTGCTCCATTTGTAGACTGGAAGAATGTAATTTCGTCGCCCAGCTTCTGAGTTGAGTGCATGGCGTGACACTGTGAGCTGCATTTGTTTTTTGTTTGCGCAGGAGCGGAGCAACTGTGAGGTGACCTGTTTGCTATGAAGCTGAAACTAGGATTACCAAATTACCAGATTTGAATGAGAATTTTGACAGTGACGAAATATTTTCTGGATTTTAAGATAAATAAAATGTGAGTTCAATAACCTTATGCAATCATAATATATTTGTCAAAATTTGAGCTCCCAAAATCAAAGTGTGCCTTATACATGGGACCATCTTATACTTGGGGAAATGTAATAAGTAACAATTGATGAATTTCTCTCTCTCTCCTCTCTCTCTCTCTCTCTCTCTCTCTCTCTCTCTCTCTCTCTCTCTCTCTCTCTCTCTCTCTCTCTCTCTCTCTCTCTCTCTCTCTCCTCTCTCTCTCTCATGCATACACACAACTGTATCAGCCAATATGGTGGGTGGATTCTCCTGCTAAACACTAACACCTGTAGCTGATGACATCACAATAACTGAATACAGCTTGTTTTTTGTTTTTTTAACAAAGGAAACATACTCTAATCTTTTCTGCCAGTTCCTCCCAGCGCTGATTAATGTGAGAAAGTTCTGGTTCAACCATGCGGTTATAGCGGTCACTTTTGGACATCAGATCAATAGCCTGGTCCCTGATCTCATCAACCTGGCTTCGCAGATCCAGCATCTGTTTGTGCATTGTCTGCATAACAAAATAAAAATAATATGAGTACCTAACACACAAAAAACACTAATAGGGGGTTTCAAATGAAAACCTTGAAAGTGTCGCAGAGCCTGCCATAACCATGCCATGCCTTCTAACCTGTCAATATTTCTGTTAAGAATGTCAAGAGTGTTAAGCATGTGACATCATGGCGATGACAAACACAGTGATGTTGTGTAATAGTTAAAATATGGCTGCCCCATTTCTGACATGCACCAAAGAGGAGAGGGGCTCTGTTAACTGTTTTCTTTTTATATGTGAAGGGGTCAAACTTATAAAAACCGCATCAAAGATTATTGTATCTTGTACACATACACATATTGTCTTAGACACATACGTTGTTTGTTTTTTTTTAACACCAATAGTGCATAGTGATTCTAGAGACGTATTTTTACAGATCAATCGGCACTTGATGGGCAATGTAGTCAACATCACGCCGGCTGCCTTTACTTCTCCAAACACTGCCTGGGCTGACCCGGGAGCCAATGTCAATTGAAAATCTGACTTGGTGTGGATTCGAACCAAAATCCTTCAGGCAAGCAGGTGAGCGTCTTACCACTACAATACCATAGCTTCCTTAGTGTTTCAGACAAATAAAATTTTCAAAGCAGGAACTTTATAATGAGATAAATTGTTAGTCTTCAGACAAATAACATTTTCAAAGCAGGAACTTTATAATGAGATAAATTGCTAGTCTACATAGATCACAAATAACAAAAAAAAATATATACTGCTTGGACATACTAAATTTCCAAACACAAGTTACAAGTTGAAGGATCCTTCCCCACATCTTCAGATGTATAGGGCATAACGGGCTAGACCTACATTTTACAGACTAATCGGCACTCTGTGGGTGATGTGGTCAATATCCCATCAATCACCTTTACTTCCCAAAACTTTACTTGGCAGCATCTTCTTGTCTATTTGGACTTTGGCTTTGTGCCATTGCCAGAGTTTTTCATGTACATCCATTTTACTGGCTTATTTGTGTGCAGTTGGTTGTTTCTTGCTGCTCAGGCAGATTCATTCTGACTTCGAAGAAAGTCCCCAATTAGTCGACACCAATGACATGCTTTCTGAGAAGGCAGTAGGTCTATTCTTGTTTTTCCCACAAAGGGGCCTCGGAACCCCTGCGGAGAGGTAGCTATTTCAGAATGGGCTGATCTGGGAGCCAAGGTCATTTATAAAGAAGAAAAAAAGTACGGCTCAATCAGGACATGAAGCCAAGACCTTCGGATCCCTCTAGCTGCTACACCATAGTGGCTACCAAGTTACCTTAGTGTTAATAGGGCCATAATCAATGAAAGAACACTAACAATGTTAACCTATTATGCATGTTCAAGCAGAGACAGAGGAGGTTTGATGTAAGGAAGACTTCCACAGGATTACTAAGTTAAGTCAACAAAGGCTAAAAAAATTTCAATGAGTCTCCCAAAAGATCCAGGTAATACAGCTTTAATGTAAACATACAGGATGAAACTGCAACAAAAATCCCCAAAAATATCAAGACGAATGAAGAACAAATCCCTCCCTCCCTCCCCCCCACCCACCCACACCCGCACACACACATACATTTTCTGGGCAAAAAGGCAGGAGCTCAAGGGAATAACTCTAGTTTAAGAGCATAACAATATAATAATAAAAATAATGCGTTGAATGGTTAAAAAATATATACACTGAATATTGCATTTGAGAAAATATGAAATTAACATACACTTTTAAAAAGAATTTCTATAAAAAGAATTTCTATAAATGGGCAGAGGACTGCTCAACATCCTATGGAAAGGTGAAGGGAAGGGGTGGCTTAAGTGGGCTTCACTATCCTTATTGAGGACGTAAGGTCCGGTGAAATATGAAAGGCAAAATAAGAAGCAGAGAATTGTCTGTATAATCTATGATTCTAGACAGAAACAAGGCAAAATAAGAAACTGTATACACATTGTATAATCTATGATTCTAGACAGAAACAAGACAAAATAAGAAACTGTATACGAATGGTCTGTATAATCTATGATTCTAAACAGAAACACGGCAAAATAAGAAACTGTATACACATTGTCTGTATAATCTATGATTCTAGAAAGAAACAAGGCAAAATAAGAAGCTGTATACAAATTGTCTGTATAATCTATGATTCTAGACAGAAACAAGGCAAAATAAGAAGCTGTATACAAATTGTCTGTATAATCTATGATTCTAGAAAGAAACAAGGCAAAATAAGAAGCTGTATACAAATGTCTGTATAATCTATGATTCTCGACAGAAACAAGGCAAAATAAGAAGCTGTATATAAATTGTCTGTATAATCTATGATTCTAGACAGAAACAAAGCAAAATAAGAAGCCGAATACGAACTGTCTGTATAATCTATGATTCTAGACAGAAACAAGACAAAATAAGAAACTGTATACGAATGGTCTGTATAATCTATGATTCTAATCAGAAACAAGACAAAATAGGAAGCTGTATATGAATTGTTTGTATAATCTATGATTCTAGACAGAAACAAGAAAATATAAGAAGCTGTACACAAATTTTCTGTATAATCTATGATTCTAGACAGAAACAAGGCAAAATAAGAAGCTGTACACAAATTTTCTGTATAATCTATGATTCTAGACAGAAACAAGAAAAAATAGAAGCTGTACACAAATTTTCTGTATAATCTATGATTCTAATCAGAAACAAGACAAAATAGGAAGCTGTATATGAATTGTTTGTATAATCTATGATTCTAGACAGAAACAAGAAAAAATAAGAAGCTGTACACAAATTTTCTGTATAATCTATGATTCTAGACAGAAACAAGGCAAAATAAGAAGCTGTACACAAATTGTCTGTATAATCTATGATCTAGACAGAAACAAGGCAAAGCTTACTTTGATGGTTTCCCTGTGTGGAGTCAATCTCTGCTGCTGCTCAGACAGTCGACTGTGTGACCCCACAATAGCTTCAGCCCGGCCCAGCCACTCCTTAATTTTCATTATTTGCGTTTGGAAGTCAATGAACTGAGTCTCCATGGCCAAAGTTTCTTCCTGTTAAAGTTGACAGTTATTTTCCTTTACACAATTTGTAGACAATGGTTGATGTTTTCATATCTCAAAATAAAGTTTCCCACACAAAAAATGTAAACAAAGAAGAAATAAAAAAAAGGTTGCACAATTTATTGCCTGACACTATTCGTGAGAAAACTGTAGTGTGGCAGCTAAAACTTGATGTGGCCCTCAAGGTCACAGGTTCAAATCTGTTTTAGGGCAGATTTGTTTTCTAAATAACATGTTCATAAGTCAACCTAGCCCTATAATGATTACCAGGAGATGTTCTAGAAAGTACCGGCAATTAGCATGCTATTGACGACATCATAAACCAGTGCCTTTTGGAAGAGAGGGCAGGTTGAAGCGGCCTGAGCCCCCTAGGTTACAGACCTTTGCTGGGGAACTAAGGTCCACTAAGGGATGAAAGGTTGAAGAAGCTGTAAATGAATTGTTTGTTTAATATATGACTACAGTATTTCTCCAAGTATAAGACAAATTGAATGTTGAATTAAGAATCAACATCACAGCACTCAGGACACCCCTATAGGCGCTCTGTTCCCATCTTCAGCAGCGAGCACAAAGTTAAAATTCCTATGGTACCAATAACTGTCTGATTGTACTTCAGTCTCGCCTTTCTCCTGAGTGTCAAGCGTTGGCCAGATCCCCTTGTGACTCCTCGCAGTGCCATTCTCCTTAGATCGTAATGATCTATCTGTTTCTCGGCACTGTTCACTCACTCCCAAAGGGCCCTCACAACATCCAGCTTGTCATACATCAGTTCACCACCAAGTGGTGCAGAACCTGCAAGTCTGCATGCTAATTTCCCAACAGACCAGCATGACCTAGAGAAAATACTTATTTGTGTGCAGTTGGTTGTTCCTTGCCGCTTGGGCAGATGCACTCCGACTTCGAAGGAAGTTTCCAGTTACCTAACTCCTAGGACATGCTTGCTGTGAAGGCAGTGGATCTATTCTTGTTTTCCCCACAATGGGGATCCAGAACCCACACAGGAAAACTCAGGTTCAGCAATGAACAAAAATATTTGCTGAGACATTTATGAGCACAACATAACCTAATGTAACAAGTGCAAAACAATCAACAGAATAACAAGCACTAAAACTAATACAGCTGGAAAGAACATAATTTTTTAAAAAAATGTATGTCGTCCCTGAACAGGCATCCTCAAATGAGGCCCTCTATTAGATATTTTCTTACAAATCATTAGGTAAAAATGTACTACCACTTTTTAGGACACACATTGTTTTTAGACACTACATTCTGGAATATAAGTGTATTTTTATACTTCAGCAAATATGGTATTTGCCAATTAGTCTATAAAAAGAAAAAATGGTTCTAGCATCACATACCTGATGCTTCAATTGTGTGAAAAGTGTCCTTGACTTACTATATTTTACTGTATCACATCAGGTGCATTTTACAGAACTAAACACGATGAAGCCAATACATGACTCTTTTTTAAATGAAGTACAAAACATACACACCACGCTCAAATGTAACTGTCAGTGGTTGCTTCAGTGTGCTGAAGTCACTGCAATTTGTTATGTGAACAAAAGCACACATTTGGAAGATAATGTTTACCCTGGTAACACAGTCAGTTTCAATTTTAGCATAGGGTGTGTTTGCATTTCAGTTAAAAAGAATTCATTTATTAGCGTTCTCATATTTAATTCTGAAGTAAGCACCTGACAGAGTCCAGAAAAGTATGCTTACGCTTGGCATTTCCCCCTATTCATATCTATAGTGATAGTACAACTAAAGAGTTTAAAACCATAGGAAGTGAGAGATGCAATGTTGTAGCATTTAAAATGAAGAAATTAGAAGAAGAATAGTACTGAATCTAGACATACAATTCATTAAAGAGCCATAAAAGATATGAGTACCAACTGCTACAGAAAGCTGGTTTGATAAATAAATGAATTTACAGCAAGGGGAAGACCACTCTAAAGATGGAGTGGCAGCATCAATAATTTTAGAGAAATTAAAACCATATGTTTCAAAGCATACAATAATAACTCTTATTGTCCCAAGCAACATATCATGTGTATCTATTTTTCTTATAAACCAATCGGAGACATATGTTACATCATCAAAGTTTGTTACTTTTGATGCTTTAGTTACATATTTAAATCTGACCTGAACTTTTGTTTTGGTCCTGGCCAGTCTCTGTGACAACTCGTGCATATTCTGGCTGATCTTGTAAGCTTGTTCCCTAGATTCAGACACATCCACCTCATCAGAGAGATCCTGTAACTGGTGTATCAGCTCATGGATAGAAGCTAGCACAGGTTCTTTCTGCAGTACTTCCTCCTGTGTTGCCTTCAGAGCATATTTAAACACAGTTAAGGCTGCGCTAGATCTAAGTACCAATAATAAAAATGAACCACAATCTAAACAGAAGGTTTTAAATATACGTGTTAAGCTTAAAGAACTTGTTTATATAACAAACATACTGAACACATTAACCTGAAAACACCTGCTTACAAACAGGCATTTTAAGGCATCTAATTTTACATATTTAATCAATACCACAACATCTAGCATGAGAATGGAGGTGGAGGCGATAACTGCAACTCTCTAGTGGCTGGAGAACAAGATGCTTACACATGTCAAAATTGTAACAGACTCTGAAAGCATGCTGAGAAAGGTGAAGACAGGGATGCTTCGAGCTGAGTGGCAAGCTTCACTGGAAAGGTCATGGGTAATGAGCGTACTTTGGATCTGTTCTACAGGCTATGCCAGCATGGTGGGTAATGAGCAGGCAGACAGATTAGCTGGATCTGCACCACTGGGTGGTAAATTATTACATGACAAGGCAGATGTGGTCAATGCCCATTAGGAACAAGCAATGAAATCAGTAAGGATATAAGATTATTATGGCCGGAAGAGAATGAGGCATCTGATTGTAACCAGAGGGTCTGGCCGGCTCACTACACTTAGAGGTAAGGCAAGATGAATAAATAATCAGACTGACCGGTACCATCAGTACTGAAACCCTGCAATGACTGCTGAAGATGAGGACGGAGTATGCATGGGAATGCCCCGAGTGCTATGATGTCAATTCCTAACTCAACATATTTAATCATTTATCATTAACTGTAAATACAGATTTTTGTTTAGCCACTTTAGCAGATTTAATGTTTATATTTTTGTCAACTAGATGCGTGTCTACAGCTTACTTGTGGTTCTCATCATCATCATCAATCACTTCTGCCATTAAGTTTTGTGGAGAGGAATAATTTGCTATCAAGTGCACACACACTAGTTGGCTCAGCCTATTGTCATGCTGTGAAGGCACAAAGTGTCTCTACTTGTGGTAGTAAACAAATTAAATTTCCTAGAACTTTAATTTACATTGTTCAGTTAATAAAATCTGCCATAGTAACCAGTGGCTGACCGCTTGCCTCAAGTGCAATGATCTTGGGTTTGAATTCATATGAGGGTGGATTTTGATAATTTACGTACAACTCCTATTCCGATCCAGTCAAAAACAGATCCCAGTAAATGTCCTTGAAAGTAAAGGTGCCGACAAGATATTAACCAAATCATCTATTGAGTGCCAAGTGATCAATAAAAATGTATTTAGCACCATATACCCGGTGGGAAAACAGTACAAAAAGGGTCAATGGCATCTTTTACATTTAAAACATACTTCATTATGATGATCTCTTCTTCCTGAATTCCAGTAATTGTTTAATGTTATCTTGCTTATTATGTTTGGTCAGGAAATATTCCAGAAACTAGCTAGGCTCTATAATAAACTGCATTGGAGATTGTTTGACATAAAATAAAAGGAGGATGGCCATAGCACTGCAAAGATAAAACAGCCTTAAAAGTCTTTGGTTAAGCACCAACAAGGAGATAAAAATTAGAATTTTGAGAACATGCATCTTCCATGTAGCAACATACGGATGTGAATCGTGGACTGTCTCCCAGTTCTTAGGAAAGAGATTAGGGGCTTTTGAGCTAAAATGCTATAGAAAGATTCTCAGAATAACTTGGACAAAGAAGAGGAGAAATATTGACATCTTGAAAGATCTATTCAACGAGGTAGATTGGCTAACAAACAGCATCCTGTCTTGAAAGCTGAAGTATTTTGGTCATATCAAGCCCTTCGACGGCTTGGAAAAAAATTATAGCAGAAGTCATGGTACCAGAAAGGAGGGGCAGGGGCTGACCGACGTGAAGATGGGCACAGGATATAAGTGACTCCTTGAGTATGAAAGTACATGAGGTGGGAGAGCTGGTGAGAGACCGAGTTTCCTTCAGGCAGACCGTGACAAGAGCGACGTTCTGCAAAGGAACCGCTACATGATGATGATGATGATGTTCCTACCCTGCATAAACTCTTGCTTTTTCATAACAGTTTAGGATGCTGCTGGACATCTGCTGCAAAACCTTCTGGACCCCATTACAGTTAACACTTCTTCTCTAGCCGACAGGTTGGCTGGATCCGCTATCACTACCGTTGGTCAGTCTATGGATCATGCTGATATTATTAATGCCCTCAGAGAAATGGGAAGGATAGAGGACTTTGGTGGCAGTGAATCCATATCGCTCGCTAGAATGGCAGACTTGGGAATTAAGATCGGCATAACAAAAAACGAGACGCACACCAGACACGCCAGAAGACTTGTTAATCAACATAGAACTGGCACTATTAGCCATCGGACATTAAGGTTCATACTGAGGGGAAGATCTGAGCACCTATGGATATGTCCGGAGTGCAATGATGATAACCCAACTAACTAACTAACCAACTAACTTCTTCTCTAGTCCTGTTCTGTCTTTCAGCATCGTGTTTTAAAGAGGCAGCGAATGGGAGCCTTGGTATTTGCTAAGCAGATGCTGGTATTTACAGCCTCGGATATCCCATTTATCGGTTGCTTGCGTGGTAGACCTCTGGAACAATTAACACCCTCACTCTACCACGAGGCAGACCAAGAAGACGATGGAGAGATAATGTCTAGACAGACCTGCAAACACTTGGTGTCACCAACTAGAAAGAGAAGGCTAACCAGAGATGAATGGATGCGGGTGATATCTGCAGCAATGAACCTCAAGGGCTCGGAATGCTGAAGAAGAAGACTACAAAATAAATGTTAAGTAATTGATTACTTGCACAAAGATTTTAGTTTGCAGACCCAAAACATACCACAATAAATGTCAATTCCTCCTCCAAGTTTCTCTTGTCTTTCTTCTCCTCTCTCTCATCCAAGGCTTGGTTGGTTGAGGCCACAAATTCACTGACCAATGCAAGTTCTTTTCTCAACTTCTTGGCAAGTTTGAGAGATTTCTCTAGATCAGCTTTGCTCTGTTTGATCTAATCAAAAGAAAGTATAAAATGCAGTCAGCCAAACTGATGGAATATCATGCCAAAGGATGATTTACATTTGTTGTGACAAACCAAACACTACAAAATATACAATTTTTAATTTGTTTGAAAATCACACATTTAAAAGCAATATACATTTGAATGTTGAATTAAGAATTGACATCACAAACTCAGGACACTCCCATTTGAGCTTCGTCCTTATCTTCAGCAGTGAAGAGTTCCAATTCCGATGGCACCAGTAGTTGTCTGAGAATACATCCGTCCTGCCTTTCCCCTGAGTGTTGAGCATCTGCTAGATCCCCTTGTAACTGCTTGCAGCAACACTCTCCTCACATCATAATGATCTGTGCCTCTGCATTGTTCACTCTCTTCCAGAGGAACCTTACACTATCTAGCTTGTCACAAATCAGTTTATGACCAAGTGGTGCAGAACCAGCCATTCTATCTGCTTGTTCCTTTCCCAACACATTGGCACGACCTGGAAAAAATATTCAAAGGACGTTAACTACCCCACACCTCTGAGGTGATGCTTGCCACTCTGCAGAGAGCATGCCTGTCTCCACCTTTCTCAACATGCTTAGTCAGCCAGTTACAATTATGACATGGGCATACAACTGGTTCTCAATCCATTGGAAGGCAGCAGTGGCTGCCTCAACCCCTATTCTCAAACCAGACATTGTGGTGTCATAAGCCAGGCTTTGATGCACTAAGCAACATCCATTCACTTTTGCTATGAACCTCCATGCACATCGTCTAACTCCAACACAGAGCCATATGAACAGATAATAACATCACCTGGGCAGGAACTGTCATCATTCATTTTTTGAACTTCTCACTCTGCAAGCCCTCCTAAACTGTCCTTCAGTCATTAGTTACAGTGACTGCAACACATTATTGTCTCACATGACAGGGACTTTCATGCTATCTGCTTGTTCCTGTGAGATATCCTACACCAGTCATCCATTATGACTACACATGCATCTTAGAATATATCATACCATGCATCTTTGCCATATCTTTAATTGGTTAGACCAGCATTTCCCAAACATTTCTTAGTCGCAGCACCTTTTTTCAATTAAAATGTTGCCACGGTGCCCTAACCTAAGTAAAAGTATCACTATTTTATGTAAGAAATAAAAAATAAAAAACTTGTATCTTCAAATATTTTGCTGCACCCCTGTGAAGAGGTCATGGCTCCCTGGGGTGTGGTGGCGCAGTTTGGGAATCACTGGCTTTGATAGTAAGATCAGCTTTGGCAAAGGATTAGTTTAATTAAAAATTTCACTGCTGTATTTACCACTTTTAGGTTGAAACAGGGCAGAATGAGTCTGATAACTGAAGATTCCATGACTATACAGTCACTACAAATATTCCTTGCGGAAGATAAATAATTCCATGACTAAAGACAGTCCCCACAAACATCCCCCTTGCCCAGGATAACTGAAGATTCCATGACTAAAGACAGTCCCCACAAACATTCTCATTGCCCAGGATATCTGAAGATTCCATGACTAAAGACAGTCCCCACAAACATCCCCCCTTGCTGAGGATAACTGAAGATTCCATAAAGACAGTCACCACAATCATCCCTTGCCGAGGATAACTGAAGATTCCATGACTATACACAGTCACCACAAACATCCCCCTTGCCGAGGATAACTGAAGATTCCATAAAGACAGTCACCACAAACATCCCCCTTGCCGAGGAACTGACCAGGGCTTCCAACTGAGATTTCTCTAGCCACTCAGTCAGCTGCTTCTCTTATTGTAAAATACACCACTCAGATATCTCCATGAGTGCCTCAGTCTCCTCAAATAAACCAAACGGGGAAAATCTCAACCCAATGTGCAACCTCTAGAGCACAATATGCATACCTGAATCACAACTGCTAGGTATTATTAATTTTGCTGGTAGCTTTTCTAGTTTGAAAACTATATTAGAGGATTAAACATGAATTAATGCAGCAATATAAATATACAAGATAATCATGCATAATACTGATATATTTACAGGCATGAAAGCTGGCCAAGTGTTATTCAGAACTGTCACTACCATGCATTGTGGGATATTGTTAACACAGGGAGTGCTCAGCAGATCTGTTATAATGTTACAACAAGGGGTATACATCGAAATGTTAGGTGCAGAGAGTCAGGCAATTCTAAGTAACAACTTTCATCAAGACAGTTTTAGTTCACATATAAAACAGCAATTACCAAGGATTATAAAATAGCCAAGGCTGTCAATTCAGGTGAATAACATAGGAGCATTGAGAAAGAAAAGTATCTAGAAACTGAAACAACATTATAACAATAGGCGTGATATTAAATATTAAAAAAAAAAAAAAAAAAAAAAAGTAAAATTAAAATACTTGTTTAAAACAAAATCACACAGCAGCTGTCTTAGTATCAAATAAATAAATTAGAGAAAGGGGGGGGGGGGGGGGGGGGGGGGGGGGGGGATATATCTCTTTTTTGAAGCTGTGTGGGTGTTGTACTTGGAGAAAAGTAAAAAAGATTGAGTTGTGGGTTAAAACTGTTTTTGAAGCTGTGTGTGTGTTATACTTGGAGAAAAGTAACGGACAGGAAACAAACTTGAGTTGTGGGTTAAATCTGTTCTTGAAGCTGTGTGGGTGTTGTACTTAGAAAAAAGTAAGATACATAAAAATAAACAAAGTTGTGGGTAAGTTTTTTTTAAGCTGTGTGGGTGTTTTAAACTCATAACTCATTCTATACCAAACGACTCAGCTTATATCAGTGCAGGATAATAAAGGCATTAGAATTTTTAAAAAAATATATATTTTTTTAAAAATCAGATGTTAATTTTGTATTCACATGTATTATTTCTAGGATAAACAATATAAGTTTGACTGTGCAAATATGGATCAATGCACGATGATGCGCTTGATGAAGAATGAGTTGGGAAAATAAACAAAATGTTTTAAACAAATAAATAATTTAAATTTAAAAAAAATACTTAAAATTGCACAATGTGCATTTTGAAGTAAATTCTTTTAAAAATTAAAAAAAAAAGAACAACATCTGATCGCATGAAAGAACAACATTTTTAGAAAAAACAAACATGAATTAAAAGATTGAGGAATAAAATTGGGGAAAATTACTAAAAACTGGAAACAAAATAGAATAAATAAAATAAAAAAGGGAAATGGCCTATGGTTCAAGAGTTCTGCATTCAGTGCAAGAGTCTGGGGAAAGAAACAGTACCTGAGCCCCGAGTTCATTATACAGCTGTTTAATGGCATCCAGTTGTTTGCTCAATGAATCAGGGAAATCCACTTGCTTGCGTTCCACGATGAGTCGACCAGTTTTTAGAACTGTTTCCACTTCTGGTTTCAACTCACTCATAGTTTTGTAGAATTTCTGTTTTAGTTGAGCAGAAAACAGACAGCACAAGGAAGACCAGTCGAAACATTGAAGCTGACAATTTTACTGCTATAAATAAATAAATTGTGAAAATGGTCCGAAGAGAAATGTAAATGATAATCAGGAAATAAACATTTGTTTGATGTGAAAAGTGTTGACTGACTAAATGTTTTAACGGGCAGGCTTAGATGTCTTATCTTTTTTGCATCTGTATCCAATTATCTATAATGATTTTGAAATTATTTTTATTTTTTAAATATGCACTTCTTTAGGTTTCCTAACTTTGAAAAAATGCACTTTAAGAATTACATCAGTTTCGAAAATCTAACCCTCTAATTGACCCCTCTTATTTGCAAAATGTTTACTTCAGTAAATCCCAACTTCTTTTAAATTACCACACTTACATTTTTATTTCTTTAAGCCATTTCCTTTTCTCCCAACCTTTAAATGACATTTTGTTTACAACTTTTAGCAGGCGTCTGCTTTTGCATTGAAAGCTTCTTTTGAGAAGGCTGAATAAATAGCTAAAAAAAAACTGCTTCCTGTATTTTCCATTACAAATCTCTAAAAGTAATGGCTAGCTCTAATTCTAAACACCAGTAACTTTAATCTATTTGTGAAATCTGTTTATAATCTTTTTTCTTCCAACTTCACCAGAAAGATTTGTACCTCCATGACCAGAAGAGGCCTAGCCAAAGCACCGATTAAAAATGACCTGATAACTTATTTCCTTTATGGCATTGGGAAATTTCATTTCTGTAAAATTCTTCCATTTTGTTGACCATTTTCATTTCTTTTTTTTAAAATATATATTCTACTAAGGCCAATGGATGAACAAGAACAAGAACAAGAACACACTAGACACTTGCCATTTCAATGGGTTGAAATGAATTCCTTCCGTATTCCATAGTCGTGGATTTCAAGCTGTACGATAGACATGGCCAATGAGACACTTTTATTTTTTGTATTCATGGCGAGGCGCAGACGCCGTTTGGAGGTGACAGGTTCAATTCCCGGCACGGTAACTATAGCTTTCGATTTTTTATGTTGTCTAGTGTGTTCTTCTATCTTTCTACTTCTTTCTATGAGTGCCGTTCACAATACCTTCTGTTTCTTGATTAATAAAATTAAAATATGCTCAGTTTGAGATTCATTCTAATAAGAATAAAGCAGGTTTGGAAAATGTGTCACGTGTATCAGCGAAATCAATTTAAATTTTAAAAAACTGTATAGACATTAAGAAGCTTGATATAAGAACAAGGATTTCAATATAAGGTTAAGTGTATATAAATTTGATAATCATCATAGAACTGATCTACCTAGAGTTAATGATAGGAAGCACACAGAACATTTTCTAGAACACAGATATTCAGTATATTTTAACTGGTTATAAGTTTAGAGCGCTGCATTTAAAATTAAATGCCATGCATTAATTACAGTAAATGAGATAAAAGAGAAGTGGTATTTGTGTAAATAAATAAGTATCCAGCAATGCTTTACAATTTAGTTCAACTGTCAGGCGCAGTTTAAAAAAGATTTGCTTATGAATTTTATAACAGTATGTGGTAACATGATGGTTAGTGCAACTAGTTATTTAAAAACATATCTCATCTTGGCCTTCTTGTAGCTTACGGTTTCAAGGTCTGGGAGAAGGAGCAGGTGGGGGGAGGATACTAGCCTTATCCTAGGATAGGGCTATTTAAATAGCAGCCCATGGGCCGAATCTGGCCTGCAGAGGCCTAGTAAGTGGCCCACAGATTAATGTCAGTTGTATTGTATGAGTATATTCATGATCTATGCATGCAGGGGCTCAGGCCTGGAGCTTGTGATGTTCAGCATTTCGGCTGATGAGGAAATGCAAGCTGCAAACTTCATGTTATGGCAAAGTGAATACCAATCCCTTAGTGGCAGTGGCTCTGACAGGTGGGCAGAGTTCAGGCTCTTCTCGTCTGGCAGCTTCTGCAGTATGCTTTGTTGCGGCTATATTGGTGTAACCTTTCCTTTGCAGTTATAAAGCAGGCCAATTGACGGATGATGCTGCATGGGCAACGCATGTAAAGTAGTAAAAGACCTTTTTCCCGACCTTATAGCGTCTACAACATATAGGGCTAGATCTATATTTTATAGACCAAATCGGCACAAGATGGGTGATGTGGTCAGCATCACGCCGGCCTCCTTAACTTTCCAGGACTGCACCCGGTACCCACTCAAGGCTGGGTCGACCTGGGAGCCAAAGTCATTTTTGACAAGTGTTCGGCTCCACCTGGAAAGACATGAAGGTGCCAACAAATGCAGAAGAGTGTTTTCTGCTATGTGTATCAGGGTTTCCAGGGACTAACTTAGTTTATCTACATACTGTTGAGATGGTCCGCCTCTTTTAATTTCCACTTAGTTGAATTATACTTCACAATATTTCTTCCAGCAGTAAAATACTACCCTGAAGGCTGGTTAGGATGACCAGATGCAGGTCAAGGACAAAGGATCTAGAAAAGTGCATACATCAACCTAGGCAAGCTAGTTCCACCAAGGTCTCTTCTCTCACATATGGCTTCCATTGTGACAGTTACCCAGTCTATACCACTTGAAGGTGGGGTTGACCTGTGATGTCTGCAGGTCATCAAAGGGCTATACATTTTCATTTTTCAACTCTCAAGAGAGATGCCAGCTTAGCTTAAGCCAATCAAAAAATGCTGGGTTTGATTTACAGCAGTGAATGGTCTAGGGCTGGGTTATTCACCATAGTCCACTTAGGGACCAAAATGGTGAAAATGGGGACAGTAACTGGCCAGAGGCTCTAGCCTCATCATAAACAGATCACTTAGCAGAAAACAGTTGGCAATCATCCGTGGGCCATTTGCCAGGCCTCTGCGGGCCAGATTCAACCTGTGGGCTGCCAGCTGAAAAGCTCTGGTTTAGGGAAATATGTATAAGATATATGAAAAGACAATCTGGTGATGAATGGAACTGGTCACTTTACCCGATTAATTTTTCCCATGTCTACTCTAAAAGATCAACTTTTCCCATATCTAAATGAAAGACTAACTTTTCCCGTGTCTACACTGAAAGATTAGCTTTTCCCATATCTACACTGAAAGATCAACTATTCCTATGTCTACACTGAAAGATTAGCTTTTCCCATATCTACACTGAAACATCAACTTTTCCCATGTCTACACTGAAAGATCAACTTTTCCCATGTCTACATTGAAAGATCAACTTTTCCCATGTCTGCACTAAAAGATCAACTTTTCCCATGTCTGCACTAAAAGATTAACTTTCCCCATGTCTACACTGAAAGATTAACTTTTCTCATGTATACACTGAAAGATTAACTTTCCCGATGTCTACACTGAAAGATTAACTTTTCCTGTCTACATCTCAAAGTGGAGCCTGCTTACCCCCCTTCCCCTCCCCCCACTCCCCCATGACCTTATAAACAATGCTAGGACAGTACTGTCATTTACAGTGTGTCCCAAGTCGTACGTGCTGAAAATTAAAGGACTAAGACCTTCCCGACACCTTGTGATAAGACAAACTAGAGAAAGTTGAAAGCTGAGGAAAACAATTCCTTCTTGTTCACAATGAACACAAAATAACAGTCACAAAGATAGCAAGTGAAGTGCTCATGCACTAGGCAAAGTTCTGCATGTGTGAAATATGTACATTTCAAATCTTTGGTCCATCAGTTCAAGAAGCTAACGTAAACACATTCTAATGGTGCTTTGGTGCTTCTCTATCAAACATAAGGTGCCCATAAATTAGTAATTATGCAATTCTAAGCTTCAACAACAGCATACTTCTAATTTCTCTATTCAATTTACAGTTTTGACTTTTTTCTTGAAGAAATTAATCAAATTATCTTCTTTCCCAATTTCCAAAGCCATTTGTTATTTTTCAGCATCGTGCTACCATTGGTCTAATCAGCCACCTCTTCATCACCATCATCATCCTCTTGTGCCAGTATATGTCAGACAGAGCTTACAGTTTATGCTTCCATTCCACTCTATCCCATTCAAAAGTCTCAATATCATGGATGGAATACAGCCCAGGACCTATCAATATCTGTGTTAGGGTCTCTTTTGGCCGCCCTTGTTTCCTTGTTTCCTGAATAAATTTGTTTTCTATTCAGGTGCCCGTTTGGTGATTCTCACTTTGCTTCTCCTCAGGATATCCCCAATATAAAAAAAAAAAAAGTAAAGATCCTTTTTCACGCCTTTTGGCGCATCGGGCATATGGGCAGAGCGTCCCATATTTTTACAGACCATCAGCAGTGTGGGTAATGTGGTCAGCATTACGCCGGCTGTCTTTACTTTCCCAGGACAGCCCATCCTGGTACCCATTTTAGGCTGGGTCGACCTGCGACGTCCCATACCACGACAAAAATCCACGCAGCCTGCAGTGGGTTTCGATCGCGGTATGCTGGCTTACAAGTCGGACTTGCAACGCCTTAGCCACGGACGCCGCTATCCCCAATATATTCCAATCTTATTCGTTTTATAGCTGTTAATAAGATGTCTTAAAAGAAACTGACTCACAAAGAGAACAGGCTACCCACTTCAGAAAGAGGCAATCTACATTCTTTGATTGCGTGAAGAGAAGGAGAAAACTGGAGTACATTGTGACACTGGGAAATAAGGAGGGGAGGACACGCAGAGGGAGATCAAGAGAAAAGATGCTACAGAGTCTGACAGCATGGCATGGAGGATCATCTGTATCAGAGTTGATTGAAAGTACACGAGACAGAAGGTTGTGGCCAGACATGATTACCAATGCTACATGGCATGGACTTGAATTCAGCCCATTTAACATTTATCAATTTCCTTGGGCATTTTTTTTTTAATGCATTAAACTTTTGTTCCATATCTTTAATGTTTCTCCAACTTTCACTGGTACATATTACACAATTAAATTAAATAACAATGAAAACAAAACAAAAAAACATAACTTGGAGCCAACTCTTAACTGATATATATACATATATATGTATATTTATATATGTGTGTGTGTGAGGTTCTTTAATTATTAAAGTTCAAAACTGGACAAGTAATATTTGGACACTGTGTAAAACCAATCAAGGGCTCTCTAGTGTGTAGACAAGACAAACAGAATCAATAGGCTGGTGACAGGTAATATATCAGTGCACATTGTGAACACATATTTACAACACATGCACACAATACATGGATGGAACCAAACTAGGGGGTAATAACAAAAGTCCCATGAAAATGGATTAGGAACAGGCTATGGGTACGACAAAAACATTCTGTTTCAGATGATGAAAGACAGAAATTAACAAAAGAAGAAAACGAAAAAAAACTACGACTATAAAAATGTAGCTGCAAATGGCACAATGATGGCTGTATCAGCACAGAAGACACATTTGAGTTAAAAGTAATCCAAAATAAGATACTGTAATAACAATGTGAAGTGGTATGATTTCACACAAACTAGACCAAGATATACATGAGGTGGAGAGACCAAATCCCTTTTTCTGATTTTCAGATAAATGTCTGATATGTCATCCACAGAGTACCAACTGGCATGCTATGTTGTGCATTACAGCTAGGCTGAGATATCTGTGCTTTTGAATCCAACACATCAAATTTCAGACAGCTCTGATTAGTCACCTTTGATAATACGTTTTTTAAAGTGCATAGTAGTTTATTATTTCCCCCCCCCCCCCCCCCACCCCCCCCCCCCCAAAAAAAATGGGGCCCCAAAACCCAAATGGAGAACAATGTAAGATCATGTCTTGGCATCTTCTAATTTTCTTCAATAAAGATTAAACCTATAGCACATATTTTTATTTTTAGATCTACTTTATGGGGATAAATTGTTCTACCATATCAACTGATAACTTAGGGTTGAAAATTTCAACTCTCACCCAAATTTACTGTTTAAATAATATATAAATACGAAAATTTTCTTGGGGCCCTTTTTTTAAATATATATTTGTTATGAGCCGATTAAAGTCACACTTTAAACAACTGCATTAATTTATTCTATGCCAGTTAGTAAACTTAAAATCTGCCTATCCCATTATTTTCAATAAAGTAAAATATAGTCACTAAACCCTTTTTCTTACTGTTATGTGCTGTCAAAGATAATCACTGCTGCAATGGAAGCAACACAGAACAATATATTTTCTCTTACCATACAGTTGTCATGCCTCTCCTGAATGGCTTCTGGATCATCATTTGGAACCTCCAGAAGATGAATTCTTCCTTGGATAGTTCCTAGCTCACGCCACACATGAGTCATCTTTGGCTCAAAATCTGCTGGGCGCTGAAACTTGCGGAACTTCACCATGACCTCGGCAAAATGTTTCTGGTGAATTTAAAAAAAAAAAATGAATGTTATGCTTTATCTCAAATATCAGTGCTACTTTCCCCCCTATGACTGGGGGGGGGGGGGGGGGGATATATATATATATATATATATATATATATATATATATATATATATATATATATATATAGAGAGAGAGAGAGAGAGAGAGAGAGAGAGAGAGAGAGAGAGAGAGAGAGAGAGAGAGAGAGAGAGAGAGAGAGAGAGAGAGAGAGACAGACAGAGAGACAGACAGAGAGAGAGAGACAGAGAGAGACAGAGACAGAGACAGAGAGAGAGAGAGATCTGTGCAATGATATAACAGTGGAACTGACCAAGCATTTTAATTGTTTCACTGATTACTGTTCCTATATGTTTCTTCAAATGAGTTTATTTGCTTATAATATTTTTTTTTTTTATGTAGGCACAGGAACAAACAAAACTTTGACACAATGATTTTTTTTTTTTTAAGAGTCTAGTAATGGTTTCTTGCTTTAGGGTGAGCTGTTTGTTGCGTGCAATAAAAGATACAGTACAACAAATAGCTTTAAAACATTAAATGGTTCAGCCATCTAGTAAGAATGCAGCCAGACCACACAGGACATTTTTTTTTTTAACAGCAGAACATCTGGGAGGAAAACTGAGGGGGAAAAAAACAAGAAAGAGATGGGTAAATGGTGTAGCAAAAAATATGAACAAATCCACCATCCAAGCCACCTGAGAAGTGCAAGACAAATACAGAAAATCACGACACTGGCTTCAAGCTGGTATCAGTGAGACTATGTCCGTCTCTCTACTATCTGCATCTCTGTCTGTATGTCAACCTACCTGACTGTCTCTCTTTCTGTCAGTCTACCTACCTACATGTCTGTCTGCCTAAAGAAGGAAGAAAAAGCATTTTAAGACTACTATACATGAAGACCCTGATCTGATTTTACTTTGACAGATTGAAAGAAGGAATACTAGTAGGAAAAACAAGTTTGTTCTTTCATTCTCTCTTTGTCTGTCAGTCTACCTATCTGAACATTTGTCTTTTGATCTGTCTCTCTACCTATGTGCCTGCCATCTGAAGAAGGAAGAAAAAGCATTTAAAGACCACAGCACTTTAAGACCCTGATCTGCTTTTACTTTGACAGAATGAAAGAAGGAATACTAGAAAGAAAATACATATTCATTGTGGTTTCTATACCTTCAATAATTGAGTCTGCTGTTCAAGTCTGGCTGAGGCTTCCAGCTTTCCCTGTTGCTTGTACTCCTGGACATTTCTCTCTAGTTCTTCCAACAGCTCCTCCTGCTGCTTGAACTCTAGTTGCAGAGTCTAGCACATAAAAAACAATTCACATCAACTTTATGTGCCTGGAATCAAACATCAGTCAGCATATTTCTATAAAAAAAATTATTGTTTTCTTTGACATATGTTTGTTATTATATTATCTATTATTATTTCAGATACCGTAGACAGATAGAGTGACTAACTAACGACTGCCTGAAAAACACAACTGAAATTAGAAAATTATATACAAGATCAATAGTAGAAGAAGTAAAGGCAGACCAAGAGAGACTGCATTTGATGACCTAAAGTGATGGCAGGCATGAATATCATCAGTTGAACTTATTCAAAATACCAAGGAGTGAGATCTGTGGAGAGACATGAGCACCTCTGCCACTGAGCAAGGCACATGATGATGTTGATTATAACTTCATATGTAGGGAATAGAGAAAGAAGACAGCCACAATAGCATAATAATTAGTACTTTGGCCGGCCAAAAGAGTGGCTCATGTTCCATCTATAGCATAGGCAAGATTCACTGTTTATGTGTGTGATGGGAGCAAAGGTTTTTTTATGCCAACCTGCCTGCCTGCCAACATAGGAAGCCGCAGTAGTAGAGTAGCCAGATGCTCACCTGTCAACCAATGTGACAGATTTTTTTTTTTTTTTTAAAGCTGACCTCGGCTTCCATGTTGACAAGGCCTAAAATTGGTACTGAGCAACGTTGAGGGATGTAAAGGGGGGCGGCATGAGGAGGACCACAAACCCCTGTGAGACTCAATTGGTCATTAAAACTATGAGTCTAGCACCACCTGCTTAATACACTGGCACCTTTCTGAGATTCTAGATGTCACAGTATTGTATAGATAGGCATAAGAATCATAGCCAATTCATGTCAACAGCACAAAGTTTGGGTGGTTATGTTGAGATCACATTTTGCCAATGCAACATGATCTCTCACTCGGACCGCCTTGTTTACTCCAATGCATAGATGACATCATTATGTTTGGAACAAAGCATGCTGTGGAAGCTCCTCATCAGAAGGGCAGAGCTCTGTTCACCTGCCTAAGCTTTCCTCTGAGACCAGCTGCCAACAAAGGCTAAGGCTGGTCTGCCCTACAATAAACTTAAGTTTTCGGGTTGCAATTCCTCGTCCTAAGACAAAGTTATTATATTCTTGAGAAGCTATGCCTTTTTATCTGACCAAATGATCAAAGTATCTAAACTTTCTGATACTAATCACCTCTAGTAAAGCTTTCAGAAAGGGTCTACGTCATCAACAACAGCTACACAACAACAACAGCAAAGCTGACATCTGGCCATGCATAAAACAAACCTCATGCTCCTGCGGCACATCCCCGGCCAACATATCAGCATCCAGTCTGTTCTGAAGCAACTGTGTCACATCCACCATCCACTGTGACATATCCAGCATCTGTCGCTCAATGGTCTGAGCCTTCTGGATTGATTTCTCCAATCGCTGGATTTTATTTCTAGCCTGGTTTAGTAAAATGGATTTTTTTTAAATTGGATTTTACAAGTAACACAGATTCTATTTATACTTCTATCTTTCATTTAAATTAAGTGAGAATTATTTGTAAAACAAAAATATATGTTCTCAAAGTTATTTTTGGCCAGAATTACTTGAAGATGAAACCTTTTACAGAAAAAGTAATTTCTGTGTTTAAAAAATGGCTGTTTATGAACCAAATGTTATTTCTTAAACAAAATTGCTTGCAATGAATTATTGCCTAGTTTTACAACAATATCATGGTCCAAAGAGGTCAAATTTAACTTTGTTTTACTGATTTCTTTTTTAAATATAATCTTGTATATTATAGAGAAAAACTATGCATATCTAGACAGATAGCACGTGTTAGAATATTTATATTTCAATCAAGAAAACAACACATGAAAAGTTTGTAAAGCAATGTAGTTTTTTTTTAAACAGTAATTTTATTTTTCAACCTACATCGCTTTCCAATTTCTCGTTCTTTCTAAGAAAATCTTCCAGTTCTTTACGGACAATGTCCACCATGACAGAGTTATCAATGAGGTAGTTGGCCAGTTCTTGTATGTGACGCTTGTTTTCTGTTGAGTGTTCTGCCAGGTAAGTCTCCACATCCTATTCACATAAAATAAAAATGAAAAAAAAAGGGTTAGAAATCTGATACAACGATTCTCAAAATTACTTCCTCTGAGTCTAAAATAAACACACTGGCTCCTGTTGAGATATAAATCTATATACATACATCAAAGTGACTTTTTCTGAGATATACACCGAACGAACGAACGAACAAACTTTATTTTCAAAGGGTTACAAATTGGGCACGCAGGCCTGTGAGGTATTAATCTACATATATGTACACTGACTCTATGTGAGATATAAATTCACAAACATACACAGACTTCTTCTGCAATATAAATCTACACACATATACAATGACTTTCTGTGTGAGATATAAATGTACATATAAAACAGACTTCCTCTGAGATTCTGAGATATAAATCTACAAATATATACAATGACTTACTGTGAGATATAACTCTACATCAAAGTATACTGATCACCTGTCAAATATAAACCTACGTACCTATAAACTAGGGCTGTACCGAATATTCGCTTCATATTCGCTTCGGGGCCGAATAGTGGACCAAATGACTATTCTGTATTCTGCCGAATAGTTGCGGTCAGGCCGAATACGAATAGTGGTTACCTTACACTCATTTCTGCATACACTGCTATGGACTGAAATAACTCTCTCATTAACACAATAGTTGCTGTTGCCTGAGTTTGTAGTAGCGGGGAAAACTGCGACCTGGTTGCATGGTACAGCAGTTGGCAAGGTCTTGCCCGCTAACTCGACCGAGGCATTACAGCAAAGGTTCTCAAACTGGGTGAGTATGCCAGGGGTGCCGGGGCGAAAATCAAGAAAAGTCGGCTATAAATTGTGACATTATAAAAGAAGACATAAAGATACTTGAGATACATTCCTCGCCACTGTCGAAAAGAGCACAGGCGACAGGCAATAACTGCATTTTATAAAATGAAGAACATCTTATGCAATATATCTTTGCCATTGAAGGTTAGAAAAATAATTCTTGCTTACTACTATTTTTTTTTAGTTTTAACACATGGTTGTCCTGGACAATCGGTAGGCAGGCCAAACAATCTCTCTAGGCTTCAGAGATGTAGTTTTACAGAACAATGCTTAAAATATCTTGAATAGCCACACACACACACACACACACACACAAAAGCAACCAATAGGTTTTGAAAGAGGCGGGAGCCCGAAGACAACTAATCACAGACGTCAGAAGGAGACAGTCATCATTTTTCGGCCATGTTATGAGAAGAGGGAAAATGGAACATGTGGTGACCACTAGAAAGATCTGCGGAAGGAGGGATAGAGGAAGACAATAAGAGAACATTCTTGACAGTCTTGTTGCATGGCATAGAGGTGTGTCAGCACACAAACTAATACATGCTGCCGCAGATCACAGATTGTGACGAGGCATAATCGTCCACGTCAGTCGGCAAGGCACCTGATGATGATGATATACTATTCGTATTCGCATTCGGCCGAATAGTTGGTCCCACTATTCATATTCGGCCGAATAGTGAAAATCACTATTCGGTACAGCCCTACTATAAACTAACTTCTTGTGTGAGATATAAATAAAACCTGGAGATGTGTGCATGGAATCACACATGTGCACCCGCACACACAAACACACCGGAGAGGGGGAGAGAGAGACATAGCGAGAGACTTTTTGAGATATAAATCTACATACATTCACAGACTGCCTCTGAGATATAACTCCACACACACATATATACACCACATATCCAACCCCTACCCAAAATTCATGCACGCACACACACTGGAATCCACCGAGGTAAAAATCTCTGCATTTACAAATTACCTTCCTCTGAGATACTCATCTTCATAAAAAAACATTTATAAAAACTATGCAACATACATTCAGTTCCTTTAATTAAGATATAAATATTTAACATAGTTCCTTTAAAAGGTACAAAAATAGTTTCCTTAAAATACGTGTTTACACAAACATACATTGAGTTCTTCTGAAATATCTTCTGCATCAGAACTAGCAGCTGAAGACCGTCGCACTTTTCTTTCTAGCGATGCCAGATAGCCCTGTTCAACCTGTTAGAGAATAAAAGATTAACATCACATCCGTAAATATGTGGCCTGTAGTAATACAGGATTATGAAACACAGAAAATATATTACAAGTAAAGACCCCTTTATGTTCCTACATGTGGAGAAGCTGTGGTAAGAGGCTCATAGGGTTGCTTTTGCTTTCATAAAATCATAATAACTGTTTTGACTTACACTTGGAGGATGGAGGATAGCAGAATCCCTAAGGCAAACTTAAGGCCATCCTCTATGATGAATTGTAAATGGATAGAAGATGTCGAGGCCGAGATGTATATAAACGGGATATGAATGATACAGATATGGAGACATTTGTGGGAACAAAATGTCATGGACTGTGTTGGAGAAGGACAATCAGAAAGGAAATAGGAATAAAGGGAAACATTATTGCAGAAAGATTGAGAGTTCGGCGTCTGAGAAGAAGCACGCTAAATACAACCGTCCTGAAATCCCAAGCTCCATTCGTGGAATACTTTTTTTTTTTCACAGTTGGATTTTGCTAGTCATCCTCGCTATCATTGTGGGCTGTGAGCCCCATGCCTCCCCAAAGAACTATATATAACACAATTATCTGTACAGACTGAAAGGTGCCAACAACATTCCACATTTACCATCAAAGTTTTTAGCTGGTTACTACAGCGTGAAGAATTCTGGCAGATAAGCAAATAAAATATTTTTTACACTTTCACAATTATACATTTTATTTATACAACCATAAAGGAATCTATTACTTGAATGGCTATACAAGGAATCCATAACTTGAATGCAAATAAATAAACAAACAAAGGAAAAAATCTCTCTCGAATCTACTCTCTCTCTCTCTCATCTACTCTCTCTCTCATCTACTCTCTCTCGAATCTACTACAAGAAAGAAGAACTGATAAAATAAAGGTTCTCACATCCAAAAGACGCCTCATATCTGCCCATTTAGCTTCTGCTGTCAGGTACAATTTATGGTATCTCTCCACTCTTGTGTGTACATCATCCCACAGGGCAGTCATGCGCATCAGAAGCCGTGCTAGTTCCTGCAAAGTGCATATAAAAATGAAGAATGATCATTTCATTATTATTATTACAAGCGAACAAAAGATGAAGAGGATTATTATTATTTTATTTATTACTAATAGAGGGGGGAAAAGACAGGTCGATTAGAACTATGGTGGATACAGAATATCAAGGACATCCTGGATCTGAAAGTTCTTGAGTTGGGATACGGGCAAGTGGCTTTACCAATCAATTGGGGTGGCAGCTGCATAGGAGGAATGAGCACGCAAGGGAATGAATGAGCAAGGTGCATCAATGTCCCTTTTGATAACATATAATTATTACAGCCTATGCAAACACATACTGTTATCAATACAGCAGCATCTTTATGTCAGCTCTTTGGCTGATTACATTTTCCCATTCATTCACATTAGATATTTAAAAAAAGGAATGAGTAAATTAAAATAAAACACCCACTTGTAAGGAGCCAGAAGGTGCATCTGTCAACATTCTGTTTGCTTCATCTGTAACTTTGTTGATTTCTATCTCTTTAGCATCAAGTTCAGCTTTCAAATTCTACACATCAGAAACAATACATGAGTTTCAATTACATAAATGAATCATACTTCAAGCATGGAAGTTCACAAGAAATCCAAACATATTAAAAAATATATATCAGTAAATTCTTCGGTAGACATCCTGACAAAACAAGTCATGAGGTCTTGAAAAGATTAGTAAAGAAGAAATTAAAAAGTATACTGAAACACTATAAGAGACTAAATGAATGGCTCATAAATTACTTTACAATCAAAATGTTAAGCAAATACAAGACTTATTATGTTTCCTTTCCTTGCCTACCTGGGCTAAATTTGTTTTGACCAAGGTTCGTTTTTTTTTTAAAATCTAATCTGGGTTCAAAATCCAATCTTCTCAGAATACCATGGACAAAGAAGGTAAAAAAAAATTTTGACATCCTAAAAGATCTGAACATCAAGGATGACTAGCTAGTAAACATCCTCTTGTCTTGAAAAATGAAATATTTTGATCATATCAAGCTCGAGGGTGGACTGGAAAAAAAACAATAGCAGAAGGCATGGTACCAGGAAAGAGGGGCAGGGGCTGGCCAGCGTGAAGATTGGCACAGGATATAAGTGACATCTTGGGTAGGACATTGCACAAGGCAGGAGAGATGGCAAGAGACCATTTTCCTCTCAGGCAGACCATGACGAGAGCAACATTCTGCAAAGGACTTTCCTACTTGATACCGAATCTTGTGGTTTCTTTTTGAACCAAGTAGTTTACATGATGGCCACTGATTTCCTTAGACCAGCTTTACCACAACTGTCATACATGCACACTGTGCACTGCACACTCCTGGAGAACAGAATGAAGGAGTCAACTGCAAGAATTATGTGACACATGATGATAAAACAAGGTTATAACTAGGGCTGTACCGAATATTCGCTTCGGGGCCAAATAGTGGACCCAATAACTATTCGGTATTCAGCCGAATAGTTGCGGTCGGGCCGAATACCAATAGTGGTTACCTTACAACCGTTTCTGGACTGGTGGAAAAAAACACATCAAGATTTCCCACCTTGGTTTATACTGGGAAGCGTTATCTTTGTGCACCACCTATGAGCGTACCAAGTGCCCCTTTATTTCCATCTTGTATGTGTTGCGAGTATAGTGTTTTTAGGTGTGTTGCTGAAGAAACAAAATGCAACACTTAAAAATGTAAGAGGGGCAGAAAAGCAAGTGTTCTAGTATTGTCGGCTTGATTTCTTTGAGTGGAGTGTCCTCTTCGTTGATTGTTTGAAGTAACTGGAGTTCGTCATCATTTATGGGTGTCGTAACTGTTCTTTCATCCTCTCGTGGAAACGACAGCGGCTGAATGTTTTGATCGATGTTCGTTTTCTTTGTTGTTTGATCTTCTGGCGTTGGCCGCCCGGCGTCTGGTTTCGTGAGCTTGAGGGAAGCTGGGCGAATTGTAAGGACGGCATTGTTTTCTTCGTCGGTGTCATTTTTGTTTTTGATGTTTCGCCTTGCGGGTTTTCATTTTGACTCTCTGTATTTGTCGTATTTTCCTGTTTGATACAGCTGGAAATACCTTCAGTGAGACAAAAAGCTGACCTAATGCTGACAACATGGAACGAAGGTTTTTCATGGAGGTGTGTCAGCACACGAACTAATACGTGCTGCAGGAGATCGCAGATTGTGGCGAGGCATAATCGCCCATGCCAGCCGGCAAAGCAAATGATTATGATGATTCACTATTCGTATTCAGCCGAATAGTTGGTCCAGCTATTCGTATTCGGCCGAATAGTGAAAATCACTATTGGGTACAGCCCTAGTTATAACGATAATGACATTTTGTGATGCACTGAAAACAAAAACAAAATTACATTTTAATTTTTCTTCATGCTCACCTTAAAAAGGACCATTGACACATGTCTTGTGGTTTCATATACAATTTCGGCAAACTCTCAATCTGCCTTTGATGACATGCTTGTTAAGCAGCATTGGGTCTATTCATTTTCTTTCACCAAAGAAAAAAAAATATAAGGGGAAAAAAACAACCATAGCTCCAGAGTCACACAAGAAATAAATAGTTAATTTCCATTAAAAAATAAGAAACACAAATAATTTTTTTCAAATACCTTAAACCGTTTCGCCTTGACCAAAAGATCATTTGGATTCTCCACTGAATAATCCTTGTTAGCTAAACTGTCCTTGATCTCTGTCAGCGATATGTTGATAGCCTCAATGCGGTCATAAATGGACTTGCTTTGCTCCAGGGCTTTGGTCAATCTCTTGTTCTGCTCTGAGGCCAAGATGACAACTTTATCCCAGCGGTCATTGAGATCTCTGACCTGTTGCTCAACCTGCGTCTTGAAGTCGGGCTCGGCTTCTGAGAGCACACTTTTCCATATAGCGTTGATGTTTTTGATATTTGTCTGCAGGGTTTTGATGTCATCCTGCACTCCCTGTCAACAGACAACCAACAACCACAAGTAGTGCATGTGTATGTGTATTTGTTTATGTGTATAAATTGCTTATGTTTTACATCAAAATACACTACTGTTTTGTGTCCAGTTTATTTTTTCAAATGTCATAAATTGTCTAATTCCATTTTTTTTTAAATCCTAGGTAGTTTCAAAAATGTTCTGGGTGCCTTAAAAAATTTTCAGTTTAGTTTGAGAAAACATCTTGAATGGTAAAAGAAAAATTATCTAGTAGTTTTTAAAATGCCCAATTAAAAATGAAAATTGCATGAATATGTGTGTGTGGGTCTGTGTGTATACATGTCCGTGTACATTTGTGTGTGTGTTTATGTACACACACACATACAGACACACACCTAAACACTTAGTGCATTACAGTCAACATTTGTGGACTGCTGAGACATGATGCTGTTTTTGTGCCAGGTTTCTTTGATGTTTAGATCTTGTAGAATGAACAGATTTCTCTTCTTCATGATCTATAGTTTTATAAGAAATTCTCTGTTAACATTTATGTTTACAAGCATCTGTGTGTGAGCGTAAACATATGCACAGGCATGACTGCAGTACAATATATTACAACTGCACTAACTGTCAAATGTCACCTCACTGGCTATAATACATGTTATGACTGTGACTTTATTGAGACAATACAAGGATTCCACTTATCCAGATTTGTTTCACATCAAATTATGAAAAATTTAAATGCAGGTCTTTCTTTTATTCACTTTGTTTTTGTTTTTGTTTTCTCACTTGAACATTCCACATCAGGTTTTTAACAGGCCTCTCCTTCAAGTTTTGGTGTCTGTTGTGTAAATGATGGTATTCACTGCCCCAGATATTCATTCTATCCATCACTTGCATGGCCGACCTGACACATATTTGAACTATATAATCTGTTGTCTCTTGATGTAGCTTTCACTGGTTCATCCCAATTTATTTCCTGATATGATCATTTCTTACCCTGTCACTTCCTGTTATATTCAGGATCTGTCTCTTCCTGTTAAATTCAAGATCTGTCTGTTACATTCAGGATCTGTTTTTTCTTGTTACAATTAGGACCTGTCTCTTCCTGTTATATTCAGGATCCGTCTCTTCCTGTTAGATTCAGGATCTGTCTATCCCTGTTACATTCAGGATCTATCTCTTCCTGTTACATTCAGGATCTGTCTCTTCCTGTTACATTTAGGATCTGTCTCTTCCTGTTACATTCAGGGTCTGTCTCTTCCTCTTACATTCATGATCTGTCTCTACGTGTTACATTCAGGATCTGTCTGTTACATCCAGGATCTATCTCTTCCTGTTACATTCAGGATCTGTCTGTTACATTCATGATCTGTCTCTTCCTATTAGATTCAGGATCTGTCTCTTCCTATTTCATTCAGGATTCATCTCTGCCTGTTAGATTCAGGATCTGTCTCTTCCTATTACATTCAGGATCTGTCTCTTCCTATTACATTCAGGATCTGTCTCTTCTTATTACATTCAGGATTCATCACAGACATTTCCTTTCTAGTGTTTCAATGTGAATCTAAACAAGAAAATAAAGAGGTATTTTACATTTGCCAGAAAATATACAGGTATATAAAACTCACGTTACTCTCCTGCAGTTGAGCCTGCAAGGCCAGGATGTCTCCAAGAGAAGGATCCGGAGCATGCAAAAATACATCCATCTCATCCATCCACTTTATCAGGCCTTCCATTTGATCCTATCAAAAAAAAAAAATATTGTGTAGCCAATCAGATGTCTACAATAAAAAAAAAATAAAAACACATTACCTGAATATAGTTCAGGTATATTAAGAAATTAGTTCCCGTCCAGTTCTGTAAATGTAGTCCAGGCTGCAAGTATGTTCCTGAATTCCATTACTCAATTCCTCATTTTTAGAAAAAAAAAAGGAAAAAATCATAAAAATCTGAATTTTACTTAAAAAAAATTATGAAGGTATCACTGCTTTCAGTACAAGACTCATTTATTTAAACTGCTCTAATTAGATACAAAAAGAATATTTTATACAACCCCATCTGTGCATAATATGTCAATAACAACACAATTTGTATCCCTTTCTTTATTTCTGATGGGACTTTAACAGTTCTGATCTGCTCATAAAAAGTGGCAACCCTATTCCATAACTTTGCTATGCAGATGAAACAGTTCCCCCTTTGAACAATGTTAAGGAAATAGAAAATTTAACCATGGCTGTTCAAAAACACAGTGAAGATCAAAACCTAATCTTGAATTTAAAGGAAACAAAAATAATGTCCACAGACAAAACTGGCTGTAACCAAAAAAAATAAAAAAAAAATAAATGATGAAGAAATTAAAAATGTCACAGACTTTGAATATCTAGACTTCATAATAAGTAGCAATGGAGACTTTTCCATAGCAAAACAGAGATTAAACAGCATTAAAAATCTATGGTTAAGCACCAGCAAGGAAATCAAAGATACAATTTTGAGAGCATGTTCTTCTGTGTAGCAACATAAAGATGTGGCTCATGGACTATCTACCAGTTCTTAAGAAAATTTGGTGTACGTCCTGTTTGGTATACATCCAAGGATCTGGTTTGGATTAAGTATGTATACCTAGGTACCACTGTAGCTACTTACAGCAAATGTACAAAAATGTCCTTGTAAAACAACATATACAATTGTCCATGCAACCAAAAACAGAAATAAAGAGGTAAAAACAAACCTTTTTTGCAACAGACTAGTTAACAGGTAAAGCTAGTATATTTACAAAGAGTCAACCTAATCACATACAGATTCAATAAATTCACATAAATGATTAGCTTATTCCCATGACATATCTTCTCTCTTCTACAAAGACTTTTCCTGCAGTATAAAAAATTACAATACATCTTTCCCAGTAAAGACAGGTGTAAGACAGAGATGAGTTATGTCATCTCTCCTCTTCAACGTTGTGACTGATTGGATACTAAAGAACACAGTAGATAGGACATTGAGAGGCATACGATGGACTCCATTCACCATGCTTGAGGACCTTGATTTTGCAGATGATATAGCACTCCTATCACATAAACTTGAACATATACAAGAAAAAAGTAACAGACTACACAGCACAGCAGAAATGGTGGGACTGAGAATAAATACAAAGAAAACTAAGATCATGATAAACAGTCCAAACCAACAACCAGTGACCATTAAATAACCAAACTTTTGAAAATGTAGAACATTTCACATATCTTGGCAGTGTGGTGTCCCTGCCGGGAGGGGCCGAAGAGGACATACAGTCACATCTGAACAAAGCTAGAGCTGCTTTTGGAAGGATGAGGCAAATCTGGAAATCCAACAATTACTGCAGAGGAACGAAACTCTGACTCTACAAGAGCATCATTTTGCCAGTTCTTCTTTACGGAGCGGAATGCTAGGAGAATGACCAAAAAGGATGCACACAAGCTGTCCACCTTCCACCACACATGTCTACGTAGAATTATCAAAATTTTCTGGCCAGATGCAATCTCAAACACTAAACTACTTCAAGTCACAAATCAAGAAACTTTAGACAGTATGATTACCAAGAGAAGATGGAAATGGCTTGGCCATGTTATGAGAATGAATTCTGATATACCTGCCAAAACTGCTCTCACATGGACACCAGAGGGAAAGAGAGAACAGGAGCACCCAAAAACAACATGGAGACGAACAATGGAAAGTGACCTGAGTGTGGCATCTTTGACATGGAAAACTGCACTGAAGATTGCACAGGACAGGAAAGCATGGAAAGTCCTCGTTGAAGCCTCATGTGCCACTAGGCATAATGAGAACTGATGATGACTGATGACATATCTTAAAAGCTTACCCTGAAATCTCTAACAAGGGAGATAGATTTCTCCAGTTTGGCTTGTCTCTGCTCAATGTTGGCAGCTATTGCCAGCCATTCACTGTTCACCTCATCCAGTTCTGGCTGAAGTAGCTGAGCACGTTCAGGGGATGATTTGAAAATTAGTTCCCGTCCAGTTCTGTTAATGTAGTCCAGGCTGGAAGTATGTTCCTGAATTCCGTTACTCAATTCCTGATTTAAAACAAAACAAACAAACAAAATTCATAAAAATCTGCATTATACTTTTAGTTGCCAAGTTTGTAAAACATGGACAGAACCATAGGTGCTCCGATCTCCTTCTCATAAGCCGCACAAGTGTAAAACGATAAATGACACCTGTTCTGTGTTGATTGTCGGCTCTGTGACTAAGTCAATGCGAACGCTTCGTAATGCCGGGATGCCAGGTTCGATCCCAGTTGCGGGCCATGCGCCTTGTGTTGGTTTCAACAGTGGTATCAAAAAAGCTGACCATCCAGAAAGCAATGGCAAACTACTAGATGTAAATTTGCCTAGAAAAACCACACAACAGCCAGGGGCTGTTGGGGTTGGTTCTGCAACATCCTGTAAAGGATATGCAACTAACCTAACCTCTGTGTTGATTAATAAAACATTTTGTCCCCTTAAGGCAGCGGTTCTCAAACTGCCAGTTGTGACCCTTTTTTTTTTTTTTGCGTCGAGCGAACCTTTCACAGGGGTCACATAAAACTATCAGATAACATCTATTTATGGAAGTTATGAAGGAAAAAAATTGTGTTGGGGTCACCACAACATGAGGGAACTGTATTAAAGGGTCGCCGCGTTACAAAGGTTGAGAGCCAGTGCCTTAGGGAAATGCTCATTACTTGCAGCTCCAGGCTACACACCCATATTAGGGCGTGTCATTAAAATCGGGAGTGCCTCTGCATTTTAGAGGTAAGGAATCGATAGTGTGCATACAAATAGGCCAGAAATCTAAAATGAGCGTGCAAGCAAAACTTAAGTTCTGAATCAAGACCAAATCCAGTAGTGGGCTGGAGAAGTTCTGCTGGAGTTTACAGCCAGTTAATACTAAGATTTAAAAAAAAAAAGAACAACAACAACAACATCATCTACAACTATTCCACTGGTTTCTGAAAATGAAAACAATTTTCTTATAAACTAGTAAACTTTACCATCATTATTACTAATGTGGGTTCTGGGGTCCCATTTGGGGAGAGGTGGGAGGGGAGATCAAAGACAAACTGCTTCCCTTAAATACAGGTTGCATGAATTGGCTGATCAAGGGTTCGCTAAATGGGGTGTGTTAGGCTGAAAGATGCAGCTACCATAGCCTAGCTTTACATCATAACCCAGCATCCCAACAGTAACTTTTAAGGGCGAATTCAGAAAAAGAAGAAGAAGAAGAGGAAGAGGAGGAGGAGGAGAAGAGGAAGAAGAAAGAGAAGGAGGAGAGGGAGGAGGAGGAGGAAGAGCACGAGGAGGAGAAGTAAGAGCAGCAGAGCAGCAGCAGCAGGAAGGGGAGAAGAAGAAGCAGATAAAAAGATGGCAGAGAACGCTCAATGAGAGATGAAGACACCAATAATAAACCAGATCTAGAAAATAGATGCACTTGCAACACTCAAGTTCAGAAAAAAGAACCAGGTCCACACAGAGATGATTCAGAACTTTCTTTACTAGCTGTGAAAGCATAGAGGGGGGGGGGGGGGGGGGGGGGGGTGTGGGTGTGGGTATGTGGGTGTGGGTGTGTGTCTGTGGGTGTGGGTGTGGGTGTGTGTCTGTGGGTGTGGGTGTGTGTCTGTGGGTGTGGGTGTGTGTCTGTGGGTGTGTGTCTGTGGGTGTGTGTCTGTGGGTGTGTGTCTGTGGGTGTGTGTCTGTGGGTGTCTGTGGATGTGTGTCTGTGTGTGTCTGTCTCTGTGTGTGTCTGTGTGTGTCTGTCTCTGTGTGTCTGTGTGTGTGTGTGTCTGTGTCTGTCTGTGTCTGTGTGTGTCTCTGTGTGTCTGTGTGTGTGTGTGTCTGTGTGTGTGTGTCTGTGTGTGTCTGTGTCTGTGTGTGTGTCTGTGTGTGTGTGTGTCTGTCTGTGTGTGTGTGTCTGTGTGTGTGTGTCTGTGTCTCTGTGTCTCTGTGTGTCTGTGTCTCTGTGTCTCTGTGTGTCTGTGTCTCTGTGTGTCTCTGTGTCTCTGTGTGTCTCTGTGTGTCTGTGTCTCTGTGTGTGTCTGTGTCTCTGTGTGTCTCTGTGTGTCTGTGTGTCTGTGTCTCTGTGTGTCTCTGTGTGTCTCTGTGTGTCTGTCTGTGTGTCTGTCTGTCCCTGTGTGTCTGTCTGTGTGTCTCTGTGTGTCTGTCTGTCTGTCTGTCTGTGTCTCTGTGTGTCTCTGTGTCTCTGTGTGTCTGTGTCTCTGTGTGTCTCTGTGTGTCTCTGTGTGTCTCTGTGTGTCTGTGTGTCTGTGTGTGTCTGTGTGTGTCTGTGTGTCTCTGTGTGTTCTTTGTGTCTGTGTCTCTGTGTGTCTGTGTTTTCTGTTTTTTCTCTGTGTGTTTTTGTTTTTTTGTGTTTGTTTTTTTGTCTGTGTCTCTGTGTGTTTGTTTGTTTGTTTTTTTTGTTTGTTTGTTTGTTTTTTCTGTTTTTTTGTTTCTTTTTTTTGTTTGTTTTTTTTTCTGTTTGTCTGTCTTTTTTTTTTTTTCTGTTTGTCTGTGTGTCTGTCTGTCTTTTTGTCTGTCTGTTTTTTTTCTGTTTGTTTTTTCTGTTTTTTTTTTTTCTTTCTTTCTGTCTGTTTTTTTTTTTCTGTCTGTCTGTTTTTTTTTTTTTGTTTGTGTTTTTTTTTTTTTTTCTGTCTGTTTTTTTGTGTTTTTTTTGTGTGTTGTCTGTCTGTTTGTTTGTCTGTTTGTCTGTTTGTTTGTCTGTCTGTTTTTTTTTTTTTTTTTGTTTTTTTGTTTGTGTGTTTTTGTCTGTCTGTTTGTTTTTGTGTTTTTGTCTGTCTGTCTTTGTGTTTGTCTGTTTTTTTGTGTGTGTTTGTTTTTGTGTGTTTTGTCTGTTTTTTTGTGTGTTTTTGTGTGTGTTTGTGTGTTTTTTTTTGTGTGTGTTTGTTTTTTTTTGTTTTGTTTGTTTTTTTTGTGTCTTTTTGTTTTTTTGTTTGTTTTGTGTGTGTGTGTCTGTCTGTTGTTTGTTTGTCTGTCTGTTTTTTTTTTTTTGTTTGTTTGTGTGTCTGTGTCTGTGTGTGTTTGTGTTTGTTTTGTTTTTTTTTTTTGTTTTTTTTTTTTGTCTTTGTTTTGTTTTTGTGTGTGTTTTTTTGTTTGTTTTTGTGTTTTTTTTTTTTTTGTCTGTTTGTGTTTTTGTTTGTCTGTTTGTCTGTTTTTTTGTTTTTTTGTCTGTTTTTGTTTGTTTGTGTGTTTTTTTTTTTGTGTGTTTTTGTGTTTTTTTTGTTTTTGTGTTTTTTTTTGTGTTTGTTTGTGTGTGTGTTTGTTGTTTTTGTTTTGTTTTTTTTTTTTTTTTTTTTTGTGTTTGTGTTTTTGTCTGTCTTCTGTTTGTGTTGTGTGTTTTTGTTTTTCTTTTTTGTTTGTCTTTTTTTTTTTGTGTGTTTTTTTTGTTTTTTTTGTTTGTTTGTCTTTTTCTTTTTTTTTTTTTTTTGTTTTTTTTTTTT